TCCCAAGGCTGGAAAGTTGGCTTGGTTATGAGTGCTTGTTGCTCTTACAGAGGACCTGGGTTCAATTCCCAGGACCCACATGGCAGCTTGCCACCATCGGTAGTAACTCAGTTCCAGAGTATCTGATGCCCCTTTCTTGACTTCCTGAGCTCCAGGCATGTACATGGTAAACAAACATACATGCAGACAAACACTCATACATATAAAGTAAATAAATCTAAAAGGAAATTTAAGAAACATAGCAGGCTGGGCAGTGGTGGCATGCATTTAATCCCAGCACTCAGGAGGCAGGGTCAGGCAGATCTCTTGTGAGTTTGAGACCAGCCTGGTCTATAAGAGCTAGTTCCACGATAGGCTCCAAAGCTACAGAGAAACCCTGTTTCAAGAAACAAAAACATAGCAGTCACTGAAGGCTTCTACTGCTGCTTGGCCAGGAGACCCATGCAATGCCTGGCTTAACCCCCCCCCCCCTCAGGCCAGGTGGAGTGGCACACGTAGCACACACCTCTAATCTCAGCATCAAGAGACAGAGGCAGGCAGATTGCTTTGAATTATAGGTCAGCCTGGTCTACATAGTGAGCTCCAGGACAGCCAGGACTATGTACAGAGACCCTGTTTCCAAACCAAACAAAAACCTTCTCCTTGTCTATCTCCTGGGTATCCAGTGGCTCAGATGCGCCCAGCCTGCGAGCAGATCTACAACCTCTTCCATGCTGCTGACCCCTGTGCCTCCCGCCTGGAGCCCCTGCTGGCCCCCAAGTTCCAGGCTATCGCCCCCCTGGCTGTGCCACGTTACCAGAAGTTTCCCCTAGGAGATGGCTCATCGCTGCTGCTGGGTACAACTTCTCCCCTAGCCAAAATGAAGGGGAGACAGAAACTGTAAAAGATAGGCAGTAGCCCCCACTTCATAGGTAGTCTGTCATGTCACCCCTCCCAAGTGCAAGGACCCTTCCTTTTCCCCTTGTCACACAGGCAGTCAGGATTCCTAGGACTTTTGGATGTGGAGCCAGTGACTAATCTAGAGAGGAGACGGAGGGATATTGGCATGCACACACATGGCTGCACCATGTAAGGGTGCACCCTGGCTTCCATGTATACTTGGAGGGCATGTCTGAGAGGGGAGTATATAGTATATGTTTGCATGTTTGGGGGATGGCAAGCATTCTGATAGGAGTGTAGTTGACTGCTGCGTACAACTGTCCCTCCCCTGAAAATCTTCAGCCTCAGTCAAACAAAGAGGCTAGAAGGGAAGACAATAGCGGCCCAGGAATTGAGTTATCCTGGGACCTCTAGAAGAGACATGGTGGGCCTGGCCCAGCCTGTGCTCAGGTTGGTCCTCTTTCCTCAGCTGATACTTTGCAGACCCACTCGGGCCTATTCCTGGAAGAGCTGGAGATGATGGTGCCCTCCACGCCCACCTCGGCCAGTGGTGCCTTCTGGAAGGGCAATGAATTAGGCAGTGAGCAAACAGCCCAGCCAGCAGCCCCCAGCACCACCAGCGAGGTGGTTAAGAGTAAGTCGGCCAGCTACTGGCCTGCACTGTCAGCCTGTCTGGAAGGGTATTACTTCATAAAGTACATACACATTCTTCTAGCTAGATGGAAAGGGGGAGGGGAGAGTCCCCATAGGCCAGGTAGATGGGCAGTGGGCAGCAGGCCACCCTGACGTGCTGCCCACCATGGCTGTGTAGTCCTGGAACGCTGGTGGGGAACCAAGCGGATCGACTATTCGCTGTACTGCCCCGAGGCACTCACCGCCTTTCCCACGGTCACGCTGCCTCACCTCTTCCACGCCAGCTACTGGGAGTCGGCCGATGTGGTGGCCTTCATTCTGCGCCAGGTGAGTGAAGCCAGGGATGTGGGCCAGAGGCAGGAAGCCTAGGGCTATGGAAGAGGGCTAGTGTTTCCTGCTGGGTGTCCTGAGCAGGTCATAGAGAAGGAGCGGCCACAGTTGACAGAGTGTGAGGAGCCATCCATCTACAGCCCTGCCTTCCCCAGGGAGAAGTGGCAGCGTAAACGCACGCAGGTCAAGATCCGGGTATGTGCCCTGGTGCCAGAAGCCAACTTGAGCATCTCCCCAGCATTCTCTTAAGTCCTCCCCACATCTGCATCCTCACCCAGTCCCAGTGTACCCTCTCTTTCCCACCAGAATGTCACTTCCAACCATCGGGCCAGTGACACTGTGGTATGTGAGGGCCGTCCCCAGGTGCTGAATGGGCGCTTCATGTATGGACCCTTGGATGTAGTCACACTCACTGGAGAGAAGGTCAGGACCGGATGCCATGCTCCTGGTGTTTCCTACGTTGCTCTGTGGGGCCTGACCCTCCTCCCTGCCCAGCCAGCCTCTGCTCTCACCCCCTGTGGAGCAGTGCTCAGAGCTCTGCCTCCATCGCCCTTGCCACCCCTTCCAGGTGGACGTCTATGTCATGACACAGCCCCTGTCAGGCAAGTGGATCCACTTTGGCACCGAGGTCACCAACAGCTCGGGCCGCCTTACCTTCCCAGTGCCCTCAGAACGTGCGCTGGGCATTGGTGTCTACCCTGTGCGCATGGTGGTCAGGTGAGCAGCAGGTATTTGGGCTCTGATGGGGCTGGGCTCTGCCAGCCTTCCCCACTCTACTCATGCCATGCCTCCCTGGGCCCTAGGGGCGACCACACCTATGCCGAGTGCTGTCTGACTGTGGTTGCCCGAGGCACCGAGGCCGTGGTCTTCAGCATTGACGGCTCTTTCACAGCCAGTGTCTCCATCATGGGCAGCGACCCCAAGGTGCGCGCTGGCGCTGTGGACGTGGTCAGGTAGGAACTGCAGCCCTCCTGGCCACGATGACTGGTCATCACTCTGGATTGTGGAGCTGAGTGGCTTCCATCTCACAGGCACTGGCAGGACTCGGGCTACCTGATTGTGTATGTAACTGGCCGGCCTGACATGCAAAAGCACCGTGTGGTAGCCTGGCTGTCGCAACACAACTTCCCCCATGGTGTTGTCTCCTTCTGTGATGGCCTCACCCATGACCCGCTGCGGCAGAAAGCTATGTTTCTGCAGAGCCTGGTGCAAGAGGTACTGTGACTGAGGGTGCTCCCAGCCTGCCCTCGCCTCCTCCCATATGACAGTGGTCCCATTCCTATCAACTTGGGCCTAAAGAAGTCTTTGTGCTCCTTAGGGCCAGCAGGGGAGACTGGGCTGTGTTCACTGGAACCTTGCCCCCATCTCACAAACAGTGCTGCCCCCAAACAGCAATTGGGGGTGCATGCCATGTCCCCAGCCCTATGGCTCCACCTGCAAGGCTGCTGACTGACTTCTTAACACAGGTAGAACTGAACATCGTGGCTGGATACGGGTCCCCAAAAGATGTTGCGGTATATGCAGCTCTGGGACTGACTCCAAACCAGACCTACATTGTGGGCCGTGCTGTACGTAAGCTTCAGGCACAGTGCCAGGTGAGACCCGAGAAAGCTGGGAACAGATTCCAGGGCCAAGGCTAACTTGTGCTGAGTCCTGCAAGTGAAGACCTGAGATAGGGGTCATAGTCCAGCTGTAGCAAGTTCAGCTGTGGACAGACTAGAAGTGATCACCGAGGCTGTGACTGCTCAACACCTCCGATACTGATCCTTTTATTGTGGCCTTGGGCAGGTGCTTGGCCTTGCTGAGCCTCTGCTGTGGATTGTGAATAATGCCAGCACTCAATACTCACTAGCTTATAACAAAGGTCTCATCATTCACTGCAGGTCAAAGGCTCAGGGCGAGGCCTGGTGCTCACTAAATGCTAACTGCTGTTATTTCCCCAAGATGCCATCTTAAGGATGAGTCAGGGCCAGAGAGAGGCTGATTTGGGAGTAGAGCCAGGTGCCTGTCTCACTCACTGTCTGCTGGGAGGCAGCTTCCTGGCCAGGTTGAGCCATGCTGTCGCTTGCCACTCTCCTCAGTCTTCCTGTTCTGTGCAGGAGCCTAGTCAGAGCAGGGAAGGTGGAGTATGGGCATAAGGTGACAGTGCCCTCATCCCTGCCTCCTTCCACCCACAGTTCCTGTCAGATGGCTATGTGGCCCACTTGGGCCAGCTGGAGGCAGGCTCCCACTCCCATCCCCCCTCAGGACCTCCAAGAGCTGCCCTGGCCAAAAGCAGCTATGCTGTGGCTGCCCCCGTGGACTTCCTCCGCAAGCAGAGCCAGCTGCTTCGCTCCAGAGGCCCCAGCCAGGTGGACCGTGAGGGTCCAGGAACGCCTCCCACCACCCTGGCCAGGGGCAAGACCCGAAGCATCAGCCTCAAGCTGGACAGTGAAGAGTGAGGACACTGTGGCTGGGCCTGGGTTATTTATTAATACTCAAGGGGCCTCAGTGACTATGTGGGAAACTGGGGCCCAGACCTTTGACCCCAGTCCTGGCCTCACACCCTGTATAGCTACTCCTCAGTATTACTTCCATGGGAGGGGGACCTAGGCCCCAGGGAAGGAACGAGGGAGTGGGCTAGGGCCCAGCAGCTTTTCCAGTGTGTGAACCCATGAAAATAAACAACTGCACCTTACCAAGTGCCCACTTGTCTGGGCCACTGAAGTGCTGTAAGGGGCGAGGACCTGCTCAGGGTCACAAAGGAGGGCCAGGCTAGAGCCTTCACTTTCCTCACTGATCCTGGCTGTTTTCCCAAGGTCACTTCCTAGATAGTCTGCCTAGTCCTTCCCCTGTCCCCAACCTCAACGTTTGAGTTTATGAGTCCTATGACTTCTGCTCTTCAGCCCTTCTCACCCCTGCCCCCAAGGAAACCTCTGTCTCCAAAAGCCAAAGCCAGGGAACCATGGGACCTGAGGCTGGAATAGAGTGGCCTGTATGGGCCTGTGTTATCTACTACTTAATACTAGAGCTCCAGATGCCGCCCAGTACTGGCCAAAAAGAAACACTCCCAGAGACCTTAAAAAAGCAGACTGGTGGGGAAGAAGGATGAGACCCTGATCTTTTGCCTTCCACTAAGCCAGTGATGACCAGCCTTTGGGACAGATTAGCTCTGCAAACCAGAGAGATAAATAAGGCCTTTATATACACAGAAGCGGGAGGTGGCAGTGGGGGTGGACAGGTGGTGGCAGCAATGGGCTGGGCAGGGCAGGATGGACTGCCCTGTCAGTGGGAGAAGATGCCTCTGAAGCGAGCTTTGTCTTCCTCGTCCTTCTGCCGGATGCGTGTCTCCAGGGCCCGCAGTTCTCTGCTTACCACGGGTGCCAGGGCAGGGTCTAGCTCCAACACTTTGGCAAAGTCAGCTTGGGCTTCCTGGGCATTCCACACAGCAGCATGGGCCTTACCCCGCTTGAAGTAAGCTTTGACATTGTCTGCAGGGACACCAGAAAGCAGAAGGCTGGCAAAAGGCATGAGAGGAGACTGGCCAGCCTGTGTCCTGGCACCTGGGTCTGCCATCAGACACCTGCTCTAATCTGAACATCCCAACACTGCCCCACCCCATTCACCACTCACACTTCCTGGACACATCCCTTAGCCTGGGATAGAGGCTCTGCTCAGGCGCTTGTGGGGACCTCAAAATGAGGAAATGTCAAAGCTGAGAGCTAGACCCAGGAAGAGGCCGCTCTGGACTGCCACGGGGTGTGGAGCTCACCGTCGTACTTGTTGAGGATGGAGGAGCAGTGGTCCAGCACTTCGTAATACTCCTGGGCCACCAGCTTGCACTGGCAGTAGTTGAGTAGCAGTGGTGTGATCTGTAGGTCCAGCTGGATCCAGTCAGGTGACCCAGGCTGCTCCTGGGGTGTGTGGGGGCAAGGAAAGTGGAGACACTGAGACCTTGCCCTGGCTCTCCCCGTAACCCCCCCACACACACACACACTGCAGCCTCTGGGGTAACCCCCCCCACACACACTGCAGCCTCTGGGGTAACCCCCCCACACACACACTGCAGCCTCTGGGGTAACCCCCCACACACACACTGCAGCCTCTGGGGTATACCTTCATCTGCAGGTTCTTGAGACAGGCAATGGCATCGTAGTACTTGGCAGCGGCTTCTTTCACCTGCCCCTCACGGTATAGCCGGTTACCCTCTTGGTGGATGAGTGGCACTGCCTTAGCTTTCTCCTCATCTGTCATTGCCCATGGGTCCTGCTGATATGTGCCAGGGCTCTCCACCTGCCAGGGCAGGGATGAATTCAAGGCAGAGCCCATGGGGCACCTCAGAGTCCTCTGCAGCAAACCTGATTGGCAGCAAACCCTAGGCTGGCCGGGTCTCTGACATCAGATGCTGGAAACCAAGTCATTTGTCCACTGATCTCCAGCACACACTCATCGGGCACTAAGACCATAGCAATGAAGACGATGGCTAACACCCATGCCCTGGCAGAGCTTATGTTCCATGGAAAATAACCTAGGTGGACAGAAGGAACTACCTAAACCCCGAGTACCTTCAAAGCACGGCCAGCTGTGGAGGAAAAGATGGGTCACAGACAAAGGACGAGAGTCAAGGTGGCTGTCAGTCCTCCCCAGAGAGGTGATCACTGAGGCCTGAGGGGAAGCGCGGGGCCCTAGGAGCTTCCACGCAGTTTTCCTATCCTTCCCCTTTCCACAGCAGACCAACTCAGGACAGCAGGGTGTAGCAGCCAGCAGGGAGGAAGGCCCAGGGCTCATCTTCGGCATCAGCAGGAGGGGCCTTACCTTCAGCATCTCAATGTGGAAGATGAGGGGCTGAGGGTTCTGCTGCAGGGCGTCCAGGTCCGCATGACCCAGGGAGTTATGCTCGTGCATCTGAGCGATTCCACAGCAGTGCCGCTGGCCCTCCAGGGGGTCTTTGCCCTCAGCGATGTTGCGCAGGCTCTTGGCCACCAGTGGGTAGAGGACTACGTGCTGCAGGAGGGCAGCAGAGGCTCTGTCAATGTGTGCAGGTGGTCACTGGGCACAAAGACGCCTAACCATCACCATTCAGACAAGGAAAACTGGTCGAGCCCCAGCCCTTGCCTGCTCAGAAACAGGAGGGTCTTTCCCTCTGGTGCCTTTGTTTTTTGTTTTTCAAAACAGGGTTTCTTGCCAAGTGGTAATCCCAGAACTTGGGAGGCAGAGGCAGGCAGATCTCTGTTAGTTCGAGGCCAGCCTGGTCTACGAGAGCTAGTTCCAGGAAAACCAAAAAAAAAAAAAAAAAAACCAAAAAAAAACCCAGGGTTTCTCTGTGCCACTCTGGCCGTCCTGGAACTCATTCTGTAGACCAAGCTGCCTTTTACCTCCTGAGTGCTGGGAGTCAAGGCGTGCACTGCCACTGCCCGGCTTCCTCTGGTGCCTTTCTACCCTCTCAGCGTACTCTCTAAGTAAAGTCCTCAGCTTTGCCATGCTCTCTGGCCACCAAATTCAGCACCTGCCCAGCCCACAAACAGACAGACCCACAATTCACTTCTGTCTCCTGTCCTGTCCTAGATCCAATATTAGTCTCTCCTCTTTGTCCCTTCCCCCTTCTCTCCTTAGGGATGCATCCCACAAGCCAGCTCATTACCACATCCTGTTCCCAGCACCATCTCTTCCTTCTCCCACCCCACTCCCATTCATGCCAAGGTTCATCTCAGAGCTGAGAGCAGGGCAGCAACTTCACATCCCCAGGAGAACTGGGAGTGGTGGCACACACCTTGGCAGCAAACCCAAGGCCTTCCTGGTCTACAGAGCGAGTTCCAGGACAGCCAGGACTACGGAAAGAGACCGTGTCTCCAAAAACAAAAACCAATCCTCGGAGGAGCTACCTTGTTGTGGAATATTAGTTTAAGATGTGTCTCATTCATTTATGCTGGGGTATATTTCATGATGCAAAGACAGGCTGCATTCTTTTATGTTGCATTTGTTTTAAGTCTGTTAAACTGTGTTACTCCCCCTGTCTAAAAACACCTGATTGGTTTAATAAAGAGCTTATCAGCCAATAGCTAGGCAGGAAAGAGAAACAGGTGGGGCTGCCTGGTAGAGAGAATAAATAGGAGAAATCTAGGCTGGGGGTGGGGAGAGAGAGGAGGGAGAAAAGGAGAGGAGGATGCCAGGAGCCAGCCACACAGTCAGCCATTGAGTAAGAAGTAAAGAGATGTATAGAATTAAGAAAAGTACGCAGGGCGGTGGTGGCGCACGCCTTTAATCCCAGCACTAGGGAGGCAGAGGCAGGCGGATCTCTGTGAGTTCGAGACCAGCCTGGTCTACAAGAGCTAGTTCCAGGACAGACAGGCTCCAAAGCTACAGAGAAACCCTGTCTCGAAAAACCAAAAAAAAAAAAAAAAAAAAAAAGTAAAAAGTCCAGAGGCAAGAGAAACGGGATAATTTAAGTTAAAAAAGCTGGCTAGAAACAAGCCAAGCTAAGACCAGGAACTCATAAGTAAGATTAAGTCTCCATATATTTATTGGGGAGCTGGGTGATGGGTCCCCAAAGAGTCAAAAAACGAACAACACTACCTGGTACTTTGGTGTACCTATTATCCCATCTACTCAGGAAGCTGAGGCTGGAGGACCATTTGAGTCCAGGGGTTCAAGAGCATCTTGGGTAATACAGAGGTCCAAAATAACAAAACAAAACAAAAATCAGGGCTTGGGGAGATGGTTCAAAGGGTAAAGCGTGAGCACCTGCATTTAGGTTCACTGTACCCATGTAAAAGCCGAGTGTGGGTCCCAGTGTGCCTGCAAATCCAACGCTGGGAGGTAGGGACAGGGGTATACCTGGAGTTCCCAAGCCAGTCCAGGGCACACACACCCTAAAACAAACACCTGCTTCTGAAGAGTAGAGCAGGGCACCCATACACACACACACACCAAAACAAAAAAACCTGCTTCTAAAGAGTGAGGCTGGGTATGTAGCTCAGAGGTAACATAACTTGCCTAGCATGTGCAATGACCTGGCTTCAATCCCCACCACAATGAACACGACTCCAGGAAGATGGGAACAGAAGATTTAACCTAGAATTCTTCCCTTGAGAAGGATGCAGAGATGGTGGAAATCACATAACGGACCCCCGTCCTGTCCGCTGTTCTCTGCATGTGGTGGACTGATGAGCAGACATTCACATGCAGATGTTTCTGGACATAGCACTCTGGGTTGGCTCCATTTGGAAGCAAGAGATAGGAGAGGGCAGTTCCCATCGGGCATAGGTGCAACCAGACAGAAGGCCAGATCCTGACCAAGCAGGTATGGGGCTGGAGGACCCAGAGGAGGCTCAAGGAAACCCCTAGCAGACAGGCTTCCCAGGGATGGTGACCAGGAACTGGGCTTGAAATGTGAGGCTACAGGAAATGAATGAAAAGGAAGGGCAAGGGGATGCACCTGAGGAGACATGACCAGGGACCAGACTCCAAAGGGACATGTGTACAGCCACACATGCTCCATCCTAATAGTGACCAAGAGCCACAGAAGTCTGAGTAAATGGGTCCTATGGGTCATTGCACTTAAGGAGTTCCCTGGCTGGTTCATGCACAGAAAAAGATGGAATAGTGGCCAGGATGCAAGTCAGGAGACTGGTGGCAGTTTAGAGAAAGTGCTGTGATTAAAGGCATGTGCTACCACCTCCCAGCTTAGTCTGGAGTGGCTAAGCCAGGGCAGGGGCTACAGGGCATGGCCAGACAAATGTATAGACCCCAAAACTGATACCTTGACATCGCAGAGGAACTGGGCAATCTCCCCTTCACGCATGGTGCACACAATGGTCTCCCACACGGGCAACTTGAACTTCTTGCCAATGATGAGCTCCATGGGCTTGCCACGTGTTCGGCTGTCATCTAGTATGGCACCTTCGTCATCACTGTGCAGGGTCCGAAAGTGGAATGTGGCCTGCAGGACCACATGGGAAATCAGGCAAAGATACAAAACTTCAGCAAGGTCAGATCTAGCCTGGCTTCTAAAGATGGGACAAGGGATGAAGCTCTCCTCGGACCACCAGCTAATTCTGTACCTGGCTTTATTCCACCATCTCAGTGAGAGCTAAGCCATGGGCAGAGAAGTAAGAGGCCCAGGCACAGGGCTACTGGGTGGCTACTGGGTGACAGGGCTGAGACAAGAGCCCGTTTCCAACCATGCTTTCAACAAGGACTTACTGAGCTCCTGCTATCTGTGCAAGACACAAACACAGCAGTAAACCACACAGAAGCCACAGACCCGCTGAGCTCTCATTGTCTTTCTAGAATACAGAAAGAGTAAGACAGAGCTTATGCTATGAAAGATGAAGGGGACTTTTCTTACTTTCTTCCTTTTTTTTTTAAGCATCTTGAGCAAAAAAAAAAAAAGTTAAACAACTGGGGATGTGAGGGGGTGGGGCTCTCCAAGGATGCAAATTTTAAGCAAAGCTCTGAAATGAATAAAGAAAAGAGTGAGCTAGGCAGGGACTCAGGTAGGAATTTTCTAGGCCAAAGGAACAACAGGTACAAAAGCCACACAGTGGGGCAACATGTGAGGTGTCCAAACGCAGCAAGGCCAGTGCCACAGGGCAGAGTGAACGCTGAGTATAGACTCCATGGAGTCCCGGGATGAGCAGAGATGAACTCCAAGGGGCATAGAGGATATGGTAAGACCCTGAGTTTTACTCGGTTTTACTGGGTGGCACCTGGCAGAAGTGAAACATAATTCAACTTAGGTTCTGTGGCTGCAATGTGATCACTTTTAAGAGCAACAAGGATAGGAGGAGGGGGCAAGATGGACGGTATAACCCAGGGAAAAAGGCAACTCTGCCTGAATTGATGTCGACTGGAATCAGCACAGATGGAGCAGATTAAGACTGTGGTGCAAGGAGGTGCACACCTTTAATCTCAGCACTCAGGAGGTAGAGGCAGACAGATCTCTGAGTTCAAGGCCAGCCTGGGCTACAGAAAGTTCCAGGACTACCAAAGCTACACAGAGAAAACCTGTCTTGAAAAACCAAACCAAACAAACACACAAAAAGATTGTGGTGCCATTCCAACATCAAGATCAGTGGGGCAAGGAGAGCCAGACCTCCACACATGAGAAGAATCTGGGCAAGGAGTCATTTCAAACCGTTGACTCTAGATAAGATCAGGCTAGAGTGAGGGCAGACAGGAGGGAGCTTGACACGGAAATCTCAACAGGATATGGTTAGCTGAGCCCACACTCAACTGTTCCATGGCTGTGCCGCCTCTCTGAAGTCAGTTTCCACATCAGTAAAATTGAATCAACAGTATCTGTTTAGCATCGTGGAAGATAAACCTATGAACATGTACCACAATGCTCACGGCTAGTTGGGCTTTTTTCCTTTTCCTTCCTTCTGGGCATGAAATCCAAGGCCTCGACATGTACTCTACCACTAAGTCACATCCCTAACCCTGGTGATATTTTTAAATTACATTTATTTATTCAACTGGGGGCACATATGTGCATAGTGCATCATCTACCATCTGGGCCCTAGGGATCCCAACTCAGGTCATCAGCAGTCTTGGCAGCAAGTGCCTTCCTTTACCCACTGAGCTAACTCACCAGCAGGAGATCGCCCCCACCTCCAAACCCCTCATGACGGTTTAACCCTGCCTGTTCCTGTTTACTGGGTACCCCCGCTCACAGTTTTCTCTATCCTTATTTTATTCTAGTCTGTTCCATCTAGAATCTGTAGAATAAAAGGGCCAGCCAAAGAAACCCACCTGGTTCTGAGACTCAAGCCAGTGAAAGAAATGCTTTAGCCCTGATCCCAGACCCAAAGAACCACACAGTGACTCTGAAATCAGTGCCAAAGAAACACACTTTGACCCTAGAATCAGAGCCAGTGAAAGAAATACACCCTGGCCCCAAAACTAGAGTCAAAAGGCCAAAAATGGTCAGTGAGAGAAACACAGTTTGGCCTTGAAATCAGTCATCTGCCCCGGACCAACCAAACTAACCAATCCCCTGAGCAGGGAAAACTAACCAATCCCTCCTCTCCCAGGGAAAACTCCACCCCTAAGAAGCCCTGCACCTGTTCAGTTTGCTACTCTTTTTCCACCCTGGAAGAGGCAGCCACTCTCCTGGATTCTTCCCTCCCAATAAATCTGTTGTATGCGGTTTGGGTGAAGACCCTTCGTAGGAGCAGAGCAGGGCTGTAACACTTTCACTGAGGGAGCCTTCCCCTAACAGCACAGAGACATTATACAAACTTCTCTGGGAAAGGCAGAGACAGAGCAGAACACGGCTGTTACTCTTTAGTTGGAAAAAGCTTCCCCTAGCAGAGCGGAGTTGCTACACTCCGGAACACACGAGCCAAGCTGTAACAAGTTCGCTGGGGGAAGTTCTCTCCTGCCAGGGCAGAGCTGTTACATTGGGGAAGCCTTTCACTTAATTCTTGCTTTTGTCTTTACTGGTATCAGCCCACAACAGTGATTAGAGATGACATCAACAGAGCAGGGACGCCTAGAGATATGGAGTGGTTCAGGGAGGAAGCACCTGAGCTTGGTGCCTAGATAGAAACGCGATGCTACTATCAGAAAGTTGACAAAGGGGTTTGATCTGGAAAACTAGATCTCTAGGACTCTTTGGGTTTTCGAGTTCCAGGGTCTTCCCATCTAAATAATAACAGTTGTTCTTGATGGTTTCAGAAGGCCCTTTACTCATAAACTGCGTGAACTTTGAACCTTCAGGCCCCAGTAATAGCACTGAGCTCACACCCTCCCCCAAACCAGTCTGAGATGACTGACACCCACCCCTGTCCAACGCTGTACTAAAGCAAAGCCAAGAGGCGGGATAGACAGATCTGAATTTACTCCCACTTAAATCCAGACCAATCAGCGTCGAGCTCAGCCTGTGAGAGGTAGGGTGACTGGCGGCTGCTCTCTGGGCATGCGCAACCTCTCACCTACGGCCTCCTCCCGCCTGGCATGCGCACTGCACCTCAGAAGAGAGGGGGAAGGGGAGAAATGATGGACACGAACCTTAGTGCCATCCTGAAAGTCAGGCAACTCTCCTTGGCCCTCCTGTATCACACGCTTTTGGATCCCGTCCTCTCGAAGTCTTGCGATGAGATCCGCCATCCTCTTTCCCCGCTGCTCTCTTTCGGCAACTTCCGGACTCGTTCGGTAGCTTCCGGACCTGCTTCGGCAACTCCTATAGCTTCGGCAGCTTCTGAGCAAGCGCCATTTTGGCTGAGGGCAGAAGCCAAAAAGGGAGGAAATGAAGAATAGAGCCGCGATTGGCTCTCTGCGCAGCGGCTTTAACGCAGCGCCGGGGGCGGGACCCGAATCTGCCTAGGGGCGGGGCTTGATTGGCCAGTGGGGCGCGGTCGGGACCTCCCCCAGCAATTGTGCTGTTGGCTTCACTGGGACTGAAGCTGGGTGCCATTCCATTTAAGTTGTAGATGCCCTATTAACGGCATTCCAGTTAGGAAAAAAAAAAATTCACCCATGTGTTCCCTTTTGACCCGTTTATTTTGCGTACTTAGCATAAATTATGACTTATAAAGATTCTGGACTATTTTTTCAGAAAAAGGGAAAGAAAGTCTAGTGTGGTGACACACACTCAAAATCCCATTGCTTTGAAGGTGGCATGCAAGAGAATCAGGAGTTCAGGGTCATCCTTGTTTATACATAGCCGAACATGGGGTACATAAAACCCTGTCTTACAAACAATAGGAAGAGGACTGGGCTGGGATGTAGCTCAGTGGTAGACCACTTGCTTGAACATGCTTAGCCCCAACCCAACCCCACCTGTTCAAAGCGAGTTGAGGGTCAGTATCCCTATGAGAACCCCAACAGCTTGTGGGGTTGGGTGAGCCTATGGGTGATCACACATAATAGGTGCCCATAAATACCAAGGGAAAGAGCTACTTAGGGGGTGAAACCGTCTTTCTCTCCCCGCGGGACTCTAGCTGTAAACAACAGCTGTGAGACTTTCCCGCTCTCACAGGTAAGGGAGTCTCCAGGCCTCTGCAGCGCCTGTTACCGTCTTTCCCATGAGTCCCAGGCGCTAAATGCCTCTCATATTTGTACTGGTTCATCTCCCAGTAAGAAGTCCTCAGAGAGGGGCAAGGCTTCTGAAGGGAAGGGGAAACATGCTTGTTTGTTTTTACCAACACAGAGAGCATGGGCAAGCTATACCAAATTTTAGTAAAAAGTGGTCTGCTGTACTTATGTTCCAGAAAGTCAAACAGGAATGAAAGCTGACCAACATGGCTGATTTACTTTGATCCATGAGCCAAATAAGTATATGCCACAGCAGGAAAGAGAAATATATAGATAGAAAAAGTAATGAAATATTAATCTAGGGGCTGAGGGTGTAACCCAGAATTAAAAACTTATCTAGCATGTGAGAGGCCTTGGGTTCTTTCTCCAGCATGCATATCCACAAATTAAGCAGAGTACACTTTCCATAAACATATCAGTATTCTCAGAGAAATACAGTTGTGAAAAAATACTGTATGGACTGGAGGGATGGCTCAGCAGTTAAGAGCACTGGTTTCTCTTTCAGAGAGTAGGGGTTCGATTCTCAGCACCCACATAGCAGCTCATAACCTTCTGTGAATCCAGTTACAGAGCATTCTGGCCTCTATAGGCACCCGATGTATGTAATACACATGCATACGTGTAGGCAAACACTCATACACATTCAAAAATACTGTACAATCATGATTACTGGGGTGTCTGAACAGCTAGTTTGAAGAGGGAAAGTAGAATTGTGGGGTGGTAATGGGGAAGATGTTATTTAAGTAAGAACTGAGTTTCTATTTTGCAGAATTTCAAAGCTCTAGAGACTTGCCGCACAATACTGTGAATACATAACAGAACTGTACAGTTTGAAACTGAGGAGGGAGTGTTGATGTGATGTATACATAACGTGTATTTTACTTCAAGGACAAATTTTGTTTCCAGAATGAATTTTGTTCCATACACAGAAGACAAACTGAAGATCCAGTCGGGTTTTCCCCAACGATGTAAGACTGGATTAACATGAGAAGTATTCATCACTAAGACTAGTGAGCTATGTCAATGGGAAAAGCCCTGGACAGGTAGGGTGATGCCTCTGAGGATAAGAGCACCTGCTGCCCTTCCAGAAGACTGGGGTTTGGTTTCTAGCACTTGCATGGTCACTCACAACCATTGATAACTTCAGTTCCAGGAGATCTGACGCCCTCTTCTGACCAGGCACACATGTGATACACACACATGCATGCAGGTAAAAGACTAATACACATAAATATCAATCTTAAAAAGAAGAAGGGGGAGGGAAGAGAGACGGGAGATCTGGTAAAAGTATCTGCCACAGAGCCTGACAATCCGAGGTAGACCCCCCTGAAGCCACACGGTGGACAAAAAGAGCCGACTCCCTTTGAGTCCTCCTCTGACGTACACGTGTGCCAGGGCATATGCATTCACATACATGCTTGTGTGCACACGCAGAATAAATAAGCAAATACATGAATAAATAGGGAGACCAAGAGGGAGGAGAGAAAGGAGGAGGGAAGAAAACTAAGGGTAGTGACATAGGCCTGTAATCCCATCCTCAAAGAGGCCGAGGCAGAAGAACCATACCAGGGCCTGAGAAAAAGCCAGAAGCCTCAAGATGGATGATATCAACTCACCACAGCTCAGGAGAGCATCTGCAAGCTCTGTGAAGTTGCCAGGGTAAATTCCCATGGCCTGGACATCCTCCTGCTGGAAGAGGAATCCTCCCACCCTGCACAGGAGATAGCAGCGATGTGTGCATGAGGTCAAGCTGAGTGGGGTCCCTGTGGGGCTACGTGCTGGGAGCCCAACTGGTACCGTGCCTATGACTGGTAGAGACAGCATCAGGATGCATGTGGAAGCCATTATCACTGAGTGGAAAAACAGAAAAATGTAAACAACAGAATGAGCTTGGTACGTGACACCATGTTTGTGAACTGCAAACACACCACACAGGAGACAGTGCCGTGTGTGGGACAGGACAGGCACGGTTGGCTGAAGCCCAGAGAGGCGAGGAGGAAGATGAGGGAAAAATGAACCACCATAACTGGATGGGAGCCTCATTCACTGTAAGGAGGTGCATAAACTGAGAAACGGAGTCGCCTAAGTTCTTTATAGGAGATCATAAAATGAGAGCGTGGGTGGGCACGGGGGACAAAAACTTTGTGAGCTAGGAAGATGTGGGTTCAGATCCCAGATGCTCCACTTTGGCAACCTGCCCACTCAGTCCTGTATTTATTTACTGAACATGAACTCAGTTCCAAACACTCCTGGGCACTGAGGAGAGAGCAGTGAACAAAAACTAGGGGCTAGAGAAATGGTTCGAGAATTAAGAACAAGTACTGCTCCTGCAGAGGACCTGGGTTCAATTCCAGCTCCAAGGGACATGGTCTTCTGGAGTCGGCTGGTACTCACTCGCATGTGCACATGCACCACATACATAGAAGCCACCACTCAAACACAGTGATGGGAGAATGAGGCAGGAGCATTGAAAGTCTGAGGCCAGCCTGGAACTCACACACACACACACACACACACACACACACACACACATGCTTGTCTACGATTCAGTGACCCTAGGCTCAATTGCCGTCATGGAATAAACCAGGCATGGTGATACAAGATGGCAGCAGAAGCAGGAAAAGTTCCAGGTCATTATTCCATTACACATTGAGTTTGAGAGTTTGAAATCAGCTGCATGCACTACAAGAAATCTTGTTTTAAAACACACACACACACACACACACACACACACACAGATCATGGTGGTTGGTGTATGCCTGTAATCACAGTACTAGAAAAGCTGAGGCAGAAAGATTCAGAGTACAAGGCCAGTCTGAGCTACATAGACCCTCTCCCAAGAAAAATTAAGATAGAAAGGAGTGCAAACGTGGTGCGAGAAAGAATTTTTAAAAAAAAAAAAATCACTCTGCCTGCCTCGTGAATTCTGAATTCGAGGAAGCCATGTAAGTGCTGAGCTTCAGTTTCTATATCTGCAAAATGACAAGAACACTCCACCGGAAGCCGTGGTGAGTAGCATGGAGGAACAGGTCCAAAAGTCTCGAAGGCACAGGACCGGTATTCAGGCCACACCTTGAGGCCTGAGCCGCTGGCGTGGGCACTCCTCCCTCCTTCCCGCCCCTGCAAGCGGGAATCTAAATTGTGTCTGGTCACAGTCCGGGCTGTCGCTCACCAACGCAGCCTCTAGGTGGCGCCGCGGGTTCCGCCTCCCGCGAGACGCTGACGTGATCCCGAATCAACTCGGCGCTCCGCCTCTCAGGCCTATGGAGAACGAGCGGGCAGGGCGGGGCCGTTGTAGAGGGCGGGACTTCTCGCCTAGAGCGAAGGGGCGGGGCCTCCGGGGGCGGGACCTGTTTGGTGGGCGGGGCCGAGGCGAGCTCAGATGGCGGCGGCGCTGGGCGCCTAGGCGGGCGGGGGCCATGAGCGCCACCCGACCCCAGTTCAGTATCGATGACGCCTTCGAGCTGAGCCTGGAGGACGCGGGGCCTGGGCCCGAGTCCAGTGGGGTCGCCCGCTTCGGGCCGCTGCACTTCGACCGCCGGTCCAGGTTCGAGGTGGCTGATGAAGACAAGCAGTCCCGGCTGCGCTACCAGGTGAACGGCCCGGCCCATCTCACCCTCTGTCCGGGATAGGGCGGGACTCCATGCCGGGCCCCCGAGAACCCTAATTCCAGAGACTCTGCCTAGAGACCCCAACGGAGCGGGAAACTTTTCCCCAGTCGTGTCTGCTCATCCAGAATTACGGCCTTGCCCTCTGAACTCGAGTTCGGTCCCCATGCAGCTTTGGAGAGCCACAAGCCCGGACCAAAGAACTCAGACCTCAGCAACAGTGGAGAGTCCACCCATCCTGGAGAGTGACACCCCAGTACCACCCCTCTGGGTTTGGGGAGCATTTCGTATCTAAGCCAGACCTTGCCATTCCTTGCAGCATCCCTTGAGCCCCAGGCTACACGACCTAGGTAAAATCTGCATCCTGTTTTGAGACTCATCCTGGCAGTGGAGGACCGCCACACTTGACGTGTTTGCCCATCTCTTGACTTCAACTACACCATAAATCATTGTCCCAGATAGCCTCCCCCATCCCTAGCGCTCTTTGAAACATGGGAATTAGAGACCCGTGCTCTGCTACACCAATTCCAGAACCTCTCTGTTGGACCCCAGAAAAATTCCAAGAACCCCATTTGGGTGTTCACCTGCTCCTGGGATCCATGGTGAGAGTCAGCAAGAGCTCTCCACCCACTCCCGCTGACTTCTGTGCAAAGCCCCCAGCAGACACCTACTTTCTATCTGGGTTTCAGTTTCTGTCATCAAACCGGTTGTGCTGGGAGGGCAGGGAGAGGCAGGAGAGCACCTGCCAGACATGCCAGGCAGCAGTTGTCTGGCTGGCACCTTTTCTCCTCTCCCCAGAGGGGAGTGAAAAGGCCCAAACACAGCAACCTCTCTGAACCTTGTGTTCTGCAACAGAACCTGGAAAATGATGAGGACGGAGCCCAGGCCTCTTCAGAGCTCGATGGGGGCGTCAGCACAAGGTCAGGGCCAGGTGGGGACCCACCCTTCATCCCAAGCCCCATGTCTCTAACTCCTGTCTGCAAAAATCTGCCCAGTCCCCACCCCACTGTACTCATCTGTCCTATAAGGAGTCCCTCCTGGGATCGCCTGGCCAGCTGGGTCACCTTACCCTAGTGCCCAGTGCCTCCAACTTACCATCTCCTAGGAATCCTCAGTTTAACTCACCCCCCTCCTTCCCTCTTTCATTTCTCTTAACACACACCCCACTCTATAATTCACTCACCCCCAAGCTTGTCCCCTTTTGGGGCCCTCTATCCTGCAGGGTTTTGTCTCAGCCCCTGCACACACACCCATTTTATCTTGACTCTATGGTCTTCTTTCTCTCTCCCTCCCCATCCTTTTGTCCCTCAGGGATTCTGGGCGCATGTCCATCCGTAGCTCTCAGTGGTCCTTCAGCACCATCAGCAACACCACCCAGCATTCCTACAATGCCTGCTGCAGGTGAGAGCCCCTCACTCGGAGTTCAGCTGCTTCTGCCTGCCAGCCAGCCCTGGCTCCCCACCTGCTTCCCCTCCTTGACATCTGTCCCTCTTTCCTGCCACCCAGCTGGACCCAACATCCTTTGATCCAGAAAAACCGAAGGGTAGTTCTGGCCTCCTTTCTGCTCCTGCTGCTGGGGCTAGGTGAGTGTCCTGATGGCCTGTCTTCCCTCCCTCCCATAAGCAGGCTCTGTAGCCACCTAGCATTTTGGGCTTCCCTGTTAGAACTGAGCCCCAGGGTCCTGATCATCTGTCCCAAGAGTCACAAAGGGTGAGTGAGACTGGAACCTGACTTGGACTTTTTAAATTCTTTTTATTTTATTTTATTTTATTTGGTTTTTTTGAGACAAGGTTTCTCTGTAGTTTTGGAGGCCTGTCCTGGAACTAGCTCTTGTAGACCAGGCTGACCTCGAACTCACAGAGATCCTCCTGCCTCTGCCTCCCGAGTGCTGGGATTAAAGGCGTGTGCCACCACCGCTCAGCTTAAATTCTTTTTTAAAAAGTTTTTTAAAATTTATTTTTAATATTTATTTTGTCATCGCTTCTCAGCCTTTTGGCTAAGATTAAGTGTAATATTTATTTTGTATGTGTATGTACATGCACCATGTGCTTGCAGTCTCCAGTGAAGTCAGAAAAGGGAATTGGATGGCCTGGAACTAGAGTTGTAGAGGGTTGTGAGTCATTGTGTGTGTGCTAACCAAACCTGGGTCCTCTGCAAGAGCCATCTCTCTAGCTCCACTACCCCCTTTTAAGTTTTTTGAGGCAGAGTCTCAGGTAGCCCAGAAAGTGAAGTATGTTCTTGAACACTGTATCATCTTGACCCTGCCTCCCATGTTCTGGGATTACAGGTGTGTACCACCATGCCCCTGCCTCCCATGTTCTGGGGTTACAGGTGTGTACCACCGTGCCAGCTTACTTTCTTTTTGTTTTAATTAATAGATTTATTTATTTATTATTTTTTTGAGACAGGGTTTATCTGTGTAGCTTTGAACTTGCTCTGTAGACCAAGCTGACCCGACTCCTGAGTGCTGGGACTAAAGGCGTGTACCTCACCCCTCCTCCCAAGCCCCACCCCACCTCCTGGCTTATTTTCTTTTTAAATTTGACCTGTTTATAAATCTGCCAGAGGACCCGAGAATGGAGAGGTAACAGCTTCCATCTCTTCTGTTACCTACTGGCAGGTTCATTTTCCCTGCCTTACAGAGGGGGCAAGTGAGAGGCAGGGTCTGGAGCCCGATCATGAAGTCAGGTCCAGGGTTCAGGATACTAGTGTCCCTGAGGTCAGGTATCAGGCCTGCTTCTTCTTTTTCTCTGGGGTCTGTGATCTGACCAGGACCTTTCTCCACCCCACCTTGTTTAGTGGGGAAACTGAGGCCCAACACAGGCAAGTTTCACAAATAGATATTTCTACTTCTTTATGGGACTGAGATGCGAAGTCCCCAGAATATCCAGGGTTGAGGTCAACAGGGGGCCATAAGGAAGGACCAACTATGGCTGCTACCCTAGGTCCCCTTCCCTTCCTTCTCCAGGAAGATCAAAGACCCCCGCCAGCTAGGTCTCCTGGCCAGAAATCAAATCTCCACCTCTAGATATTTGAGTGCAGGGGACAGAGCTGCAGCTTAGCACTGGTGACATCTACTGCCCAGCTTCTCCCCAACCCAGCAAGGCAAGCATTGGTAGCTTCCTGGCGTTGGAAGTAAGGACACAGGCTCGGACTGCAGAGGGGCTTCCTCAGGTGGCAGCTGGAGGAGGATGAGCTGGGATTTATACCCACACCTGTGACTGCCAAGCCTCGGGATCACCAGATGGCCACCAAGAGCTCTAGGGAATTAGAAAAAGATGTTTACTCTAAGCAGAAGCCAAAGCCCTGAGCCAGGGGCAGGGAGTGAGTGTGAACCCCCTTCTGAGGTGTTCTATGAAGGCACCGCACAGAACGCATAGCTCGGGGCCTGGCAATGCCATGTTACTGCTCCCGGCTGACGTGAGGCAGTTGCTTCAGGCTCCCATAGACCTCTTTCTACACGTGGATCTTGTTGGTCCCTCCAGTAAGAAGGGCTGCTAGACAAGCACCTATCTGCCTTTCTATTACATTTCCTTAATTCTTTGTATGTGTTCAGGGATAGAAGGAGGGCGCGTGCATGCCACAGTCCAAGGGTGGGGGTGGGGGTCAGAGGATAATTGTAAGATTCAGTTCTCTGCTTCCACCACCTGGGCCCAAGGGCAAGCTCTTCTACCCACTGAGCCATCTTGCTGCCCCCCATTTGCCTTTTTTTTTTTTTTTTTTTTTTTTTTGGCTGGGGGAAACAGCCCTGGTTGTACTGGAACTCCATATGTAAATGAAGCTGGTCTCAAACTCACAAATCTGTCTGCCTCTCCCTCCTGAATACTGTGATTAAGAGCATCCATTACCATGCAAGGCCCCATCTGCCTTTTTATGATGGAATTCTTGGTACCTGGCATGCAGAGGGTGTTCTGTAAGTGGCTGTCGAGTGACTGAAAGTCACACCAAACAGCAGTAGAAACTCCCATTTCATAGCTACTTCCCAGGGTCTGCCAAGTATGCTGCCCTGAAAACAGCCTGGTAAGCATCCCGGGAAGATATTCTGCCAGGGGGCATCAGTTTAGGTAGGAGATACATCAGGTGGGAGCCGGGCTGAGAGTCGGGTGTGGAAGACCTTACCCTCACCCCTCCCTCCACAACCTCATGTGTGTACAGTGCTTATCCTGGTCGGCGTGGGACTGGAGGTGGCCCCCTCTCCAGGTGAGCGCCCCTCCTGCCTGGGTCCTCGGCAAACCCTCCCAACTTCTAGCACAAATCAGCCACCTTCTAGGAGAGAGGGAGGCCTTCCCGGGCAGCCATCGCCCCTAGGGACCCCTAGTCCTGAGCTGTCCATTTCTTCCTGCTTCAGGTGTCTCCAGCGCCATTATCTTCGTGCCAGGTTTCCTGCTGCTAGTCCCGGGAGGTGAGAGTGTGACGTGAGGTGGGGCGGGGCATGGGTGGGGCGGGGCCAGATCCACCTACTGACAGACACCGCCCCTCAGTTTACCACGTGATCTTCATCTACTGCGCTGTCAAGGGCCACCGGGGCTTCCAATTCTTCTATCTGCCCTACTTTGAAAAGTGAGCTGCAGCTGGCCAGTGGGATACCAGAGCTCCACGGCCTCAGGCCGCCTCCACATGTCCCCGGGGCGGTTCTCCAACCTACGCCCGGATCTGTCCCTTTCACTTGGAAGGAAAAGGCCTTCTGGGAGCCTCACAGCCACCAGCCCCTCTGGATTTGCTCAGGAAGCTTGGGGCATGCCAATCTGGGGGCGTTGCCACTTAACCTGGGCCCTGGACTCCTGGGTTGGTGTAATTTTGTGCTAATAAAAGGGTAATTAATCCCAGCGGGACAGTTGCAGTTTTCTCTCCCACCAGGTCTGGCCCAGCCCCTTCTACATAGGTTTAGTGGAGGACTCACCTGGGGTGTTGGAGGACCACCTATCTCTAGTGGCATCTAGGACAACCTGGTGATCTCAGATGTGCCAAGGTCACCATTATGTCCAGGGCAGAGCTGCATGGAGAAGTGGTCGGCCTTCCTGCCTTTAACCCTGAGGAGATTCAACTGTCCCCATCTGTGTAGCATGCCAGCACTTGTCCTGGTGGCCTCATCAAAGGGCACTGAGAGATGACGCAGGCCTGGGGCCTGGAGGCTGGTATCCCAGTTCCAGCCTGACTCTGGGGCCCTAGGCTGCCGTATGCATCTCTAAATAAGGGTTATGTGGGACAGTGCTCCCCCACCCACTGCCCTACTTCCGAGACCCAGCGGCTGGGAGGACTAGGGAGCTGATGGGGGTGAGAGCACAGCTCCTCAGCAGAGCACCACACTGACAAAGACTTTTGTCACCAAGTGTTTGAAACACCATCTTAGATTTTTGGAAAATTTGGGCCTCTAATAATGTCTAAAAGTTAAACAAAACCTAAAACAAACAAAAAACCCAAACTCTGTATGGAAATCTGGGCTCATGGTAGTGCTCACGAAACAAGCTGTGTCAAGCACTTCCCTAAATCAAGTCTTAGAATCCTTACTGCCTCAGTACTATCTCACACACGAGAAGCCCAAGGCCCCCCGTTTACAGGTGAGAACCAGCTCTTCAAGGACGAAACACAACCTGAGCCCCTTCTGAAACTCAGGGAGAGGGAGAAAAATGGAAGAAGGCTGGTGACCTCTGCAGGCCACCAAAAGAGCAGCTGAGTGGTGTTCCCTCCTCCAGACAAAAGCAGGAATGTCCACAGAGATCAGGCAGCTGGGCACCTAAGTCCTCTGCCTTTGCTGAATGAGTGGACACCTAGTCTTTTCACCTGCTCCTCTCCCGACCCACCTAGACCTTCCACCCCCAAACCTCCAGTCAGAACACCTTAAGTAACTTACCGTTCTGCAACCAGCTAAGGCAAGGACCGTAGAGGTCTGGTGAGATGGCACCACGGGTTAAGGCACTTGCTGCCAAGCCTGACAGCCCGAGTTCAATCCCTGGGACCCACAGGATGGAAAGAGAACAGACTCCCACAAGCTCTTTGCTGAGCTCCACATATGTTCCATGGGATGCTGGAGCATGCACGCATGCACACACCATAAAGAGAAAACGGAGGGATGTGCTGGAGAGATGACTTAGAGGTTACCAGCACAGGCTGCTCTTCCAGAGGTTCTGAGTTCAATTCCCAGAGACCACATGGTGGCTCACAAACCATCTGTAATGAGATCTGGCGCCCTCTTCTGTCATAAAGGCATACATACAGGCAGAACATATACATAATAAATCAATAAACAAATCTCTTAAAAAATGAAGGAACTGGGAGATGGTGCAGTGGATAAAGCATCTGCTATGCAGTCATGAGGATCTGAGTTCGAATCTCCAGATACACAAAGCTAGACACAGTGGATATCTGTCATCCTAGCATCTACAGAGGTGGAGGTGGAGGCAGGAAAGTCCTGGTATCTGAAGTTCCAAGACAGCAAGAGTCCTGCCTATCTCAGAATGGAAGGTGAACAACTGAGATTTTCTTCCTTCCTTTCCTTCATTCTTTCTTTTTGTTTTTCAAGTCAGGGTTTCTCTCTGGCTGTCCTGGAACTCGCTTTGTAGACCACGCTGGCCTCAAACTCACTGAGATCCGCCTGCTTCTGCCTCCTTAGTGCTGGGATTAAGGGTGTGCGCCACCACTGCCCAACTCCTACTGAGGCTTTCTTCTGAGCTCTATGTCTGTGTTATGGCATCCTCCTGCCCCCACCCCCTGGATTTTTTTAAATTTAGATTTATTATTTTGTGTGAATGAGTGTTTTGCTTGGGTGTATGTCTGTGGCCCACATGTGTGCCTGGTACCCAGAGAGGTAGTGAGGCTCCATGTGGATACTGGGAACTAAACACAGGTTCATTTACAAGAACCACTGAGCCAACTCTCCAACCTGATTTTTTTTTTTTTAGAAAAGTGAAAAAGACAAAATCCAAGCCCACAGTTCGTATTATCAGTACATTCACACAGTTATCATCCAATAAACATAACGAGAACATAGAAAAAAAGGGAAATTTCAAAACTGTTCATTGAAAAGAGAGCTGGCAAGATGGCTCATTGGGTCAAAGCACTGTTGCCATTACACATCCCAGACAGCTTGAATCTGATCCCCAGATCTACTGTGGAGAGAGAACTGACTCCCCAAAACTGTCCTCTGTCCTCCACATGTGCACCATGGCAGGCACTCACAAACAACGTTAGCCTGTCCTAGAACTCACTCCATAGACCAGGAACTCGAACTCAGAAGCCCACCTGTCTCTGCCTCTCAAGTGCTGGGATTAAAGGCGTACGCCACCACGGCCCGGCCATGATACTGTTTTTTAAAAGACAGTTGCAGTGTCCTCTGGCTGGCCTGGAACTTGCTCTGTAGACCATATTGGCCTCAGATTCACAGAGATCTACCTGCCTCTGTCTCCCCAGGGCTGGAATTAAAGGTACCTGTCACCATGGCTTAAAAAAAAAAAAAAAAAAAAAAAAAAAAAAAAAAAAAAAAAAAAAAAGGGGGCTGGAAAGATGGCTCAGAGGTTAAGAGCACTGACTGCTCTTCCTGAGGTCCTGAATTCAATTCCCAGCAACCACATGGTGGCTCACAACCATCTGTAATGAGATCTGGTGCCCTCTTCTGGTGTGCAGACAGAACGCTAGAATATTGTATACATAATAAATAAATAAATAAATTCATTTAAAAAAAATAAGTAAATAGATTCAATTCCAATTCCATTCTTTGACCAGTATATATCACTTAAAGCTGAAATGTAACCAATTAGCTTTCTTCCTTTGTTAAAGGTACATCATTCATTTAGGAGAGATTCACACACGTGTGTGTGTCAGAGGACAGCTGTGGGGTCATTCTCCCATGGCATGTGGAGCCCAGGGACTGAACTCAGTCTTCAGGCGTGGCACCTTTATCCGCTGAGCCATCTCGCTGATCTCGCTTGCCCTCCTCTCTCTCTCTCTCTCTCTCTCTCTCTCTCTCTCTCTCTCTCTCTCCCTCTCTTTCCTTTTTTAGTGAGGCTCTCAAGCCCAGGACCTTGCCAATGTTATGCAGGCACTCAGCCACTAAGTCACACTCCAGCCCAGAGCCCAGAGCTAGCCTCTTGCTGATTAACCCATCTTACCCAGATGACTCTGACCGTGACACCTCTCTACGATCTGAACAGACACGCAGACACAATAAACAGCATCTCATTCTCTCGAGGCACACTCATAGGAGAAACAAGTATTTCCGTAGCGGCTGTGGGTGGGTGGTGCGCGTGCCTTTAATCCCAGCATTTGGGGGTGGGGCAGAGGCAAGAGGGTTTCTGTGAGTTCCAGGCCAGCCAGGCTGCAACCAAAAACTTATCTCTTCCTCAGCCTTCTCCTCGTTTAAATCAAAATTCTTCATTTTCCTCCTTGCCTCCTCTGTAATGGTATATTCTGTGTCCCTCGTCCTCCAGGCTAAGCTTCAGTGAAGTCCACTGTCACTCGTTCTACCCTTCCCCCGACACTAGAAAAGGTCCAGGTCACATCTTTCCTTTGAGTTACTTTTGCCTCTGAAGAAACTTTTTTCCACTCACGGCCCTGACCGCCCTCAACATGCCCCTTCTCATCCTTGAGACCTCTTTGCTGGGTTGCCTTTTCAGACTCTGGATGTAAGCAGGTGGTTCATCCCCTCGCCCCCCAGACTCAAACGGGGGTCTATCACTCGGGAGTGTTAGAGTCCAGGCCCCCAAGCCTCAATCCAGGACTGAATCCCCCAGTGTCAGTTCCTCCAAGATCCCACACTGAGGTCCCCAAGCAGCCCCTCCTTTCCCGCACTTTCACTGTTGGAACTTCTACCCTCTTGCCTTGGCCTCCTGTACGGAGATTGCCAGCAGGTCTGCCACACCCAGATTCCAGTTCACTTTTCAGTTATGGCAAGGGGTGCGTGGTGGGCGGCGGAGGTGTGTGGTGGGCAGCGGGGGTGCGTGGAGGGCAGCAGGGGGTGGGGATAGACAGAGCATGAGCATGCCAAAGAACTTTATGAAGTTGGTTTTCTCCTTCCATCATGTGAATTTTTTGTTTGTTTGGGGGGTTGGTTTTTTTTTTTTTTTTTTTTTTTTTCAAAGAGGGTTTCTCTCTGTATCCCTGGCTGTCCTGGAACTTACTCTGTAGACCAAGCCTGGAACTCATAAAGATCTACCTGTCTCTGCCTCTGCCTCCCAAATGCTAGAATTAAAGAAGGGTGCCACCACTGCCCGGCCCCTACCATGTGAATATCAAGGATCCAATACAGACTTGGTGACAAGAGCTTTTACCTGCTGAGCCATTTTTACCAGGCCCAAGTTCATTTCTCAGAACAGCACTTTCTGCACACAAGTAGTGGGAAGTGGTTTGGCCGCCCTCTCAATCCACCAGGTCCTAAGAATTCCCCACAATACACTCTGCCTGGTTTATTCAAAAGCAGCCAACGCTGGGGAACTCCCTACCTCTCCAGGGCCTGGAGAGATTTCAAATCTTGTTCTCTGCTGAGAACTGCACCCAGCTGGGATTTTTCCCTCCACAGTTTGGGAGTGGGAGGAAAAGACAGCGCTGCAGACACGGGAGGCAGGCCTACTCAGGGGTAGCTGCTGCCTACAGTTGGGGAGGAGCTCCCAGCCTCAGGAAGGGCGTGGTTGTCTGGTTTCTCGCAGGTTTGTGGGCCTCAGGGGCAGTAGGTCGCCCTGCAGGTGCCTCAGCCAGTAGATAGCATCATTACAAATTCTGCAGGAGAGAGGGGTAGAGAAAGGCCAACCCAGGTCAGGGATTGAAGGAGATCCAAAGTGCCGGAGGCATGGGCTGGGTGTCTGTGTGGCTGACTCACCGTCAAAGTCTATGGTGCCATCCCCATTGAGGTCCATGTCTCGCAACATCTCATCCAGCTCAGTGCCCTCTAGTGGTTCCCCCAGCAGAGCTGGCGCTGCCTGCCGCAGCTCCGCCACTGTGATCAGTCCATCCCTGTCCTTGTCAAACTGAAAAGAGAGAGAGTCCAAGCAGGGCTCCTACCCTGTTGTCTCTGTATGTGGCTCCATTCTGGTTTGGTTTCTTTCTTTTTTTTTATTTGAGATAATGTCTCAGTATGACATCCTGCCCAGGCTGGTCTCAAACTCACAGAGTCTCTCTTGCCTCTGCCTCCCAAGTACTGAAATTAAAAGTGTGACCCAGGCTGGGCTGTGGTGATACAAGCTTTTAACTCCAGTACTTGGGAGGCAGAGGCAGGCGATCTCTGTGAGTCTGAGACCATCCTGGTCTACAAAGTGAGTTCCAGAACAACCAGGGCTGTTACACAGAAAAACCCTGTCTCGAGAACCCCTCCCCCCCCCAAAAAAAAAGTATGGGCTAACATATCATGCTTAACCTCCTCGGGTTTGTTCGGTTTATATTGTTGAGACAGTGTCTCAACTCACTGTGTAGTGGATACAGCCTTGAACTCCTTATCCTCCCGCCTTCTCCATCTCCCAAATCCTTGGATTATACGTGTGTACCACCACGCCCTGGCCGTGCTTGGTGCTAAGGACTGAGCCCAGGGCTTTGTGCATACTAGTTATGCACTATGCCAACTGAACTACATCCTGTTCTCGGTTCTGCTCTTGCCACTGCCTGACCCAGGGCCACGATGCCAGGTATCTAAACCTCCCCATCCTCAGAGATCAGTTTCCCTGACTGAAAACCTCACAGGCAATGAGCCACGCCCTCTCTACCTGTCCCTACACCCTAGTCTTGCCTCTCCGGACCCCCTGAAGGCAGGGATCCCAGTAAATGTAGTCCATGCTTGCCACCGCTTGTACCCCTTACCTCTCGGAAGGCGCTGCGCAGCTCTTGTACACCCAACATGTGAGCTGTCTCCTCCCTCAGCTTTGGGCTGATCAGCTCCACAAACTCTTCAAAATCCACAAAGCCGCCCACTGTGGACCCAGGCAGAGTGTCAGAATCTGTTCAGGGAGGATGCTGCGTTCTTCTGCCCTCCCTCCAGGGCTCTGAGCCCAAGAAGGCGCACCTAGCTCCTCGCTCAAAGAGGGGTTTCTTGGCTACTGGGGGTCAGGGACGCCCCTCTTCTCCATGAAGCACCAGTGGGCCAGAAAGAGAAGGCAGCCTAGGTTCAAATCCTGCTGTATGAGGTCTTGGGTGGTTTACCAATCCTCTTGCTCTCTGGGAGGGGCCTGGATGAGCAGTGCTACAGCTGCTGGAAATCAGGGCTCAGCTGGGTGGAGCTGAGCAGGAAGCACAGATTGTTATGGGATATTTGTACACTGTGTGAAGATGTATCATTGTGATTGGTTTAATAAAGAGCTGAATGGCCAATAGCCGGGCAGGAAGAGGTTAGTTGGGACTTCCAGGGATAGAGAGGACTCTGGGGAAAAGAGAGGTGGCGTCACCAGCCAGACGCACAGGAAGCATTATGGGCAGTATAGAGATGAGGTAATGAGCCATGAGGCAGAACACAGATTAAAATGGATGAGTTAATTTAAGTTATAAGAGCTATTGGGGTAAGCCTAAGCTAAGACCAAGCTTTCATAATTAATAATAAGTCTCTGTGTCATTATTTGGGGCTAGCAGTGGGGGAAAAAAGCCCACCTACACTAAACACCTTTAAAAAGCACAGCCATGTCGGTGTCGTCCCTCAGTTCTAAGATGTCATTAGTCCCCCAAGACTCCAGGGATCAAGCAACAACTTTGGGGGAAAGAGACACACGGCCCTAGAATGAGCATTGCGCTTCTTGCTTGTGTTTGAGGCATGGACTGTGTTAATGTTAACCTGGAGCTCACTCTGCAGCCCAGGCTGGCCTTGAACTCACGGAGATCCTCGGCCTCTGCCTCCCCAGTTTGGGATTATAAGCATGTGCCACCACGCCTGGCTCTGGTTAATTTTTGTGTGTCAACTTGACATAAGGTCATTTAGGAAGAGGGAACTTCAATTGCGGAAATGCCCCCATTAGAGTAGCCCATAGGCAAAGCAAGTCCGTGGGACATAATGATTGATGTAAGAGGGCCCACTCCTGGAAGGGTGGTCCTGGGAGGTATAAAAAAGGGAACTGAGGGGCTGGAGAGATGGCTCAGTGGTTGAGAGCACTGGCTTTTCTTCCAAGGGTCCTGAGTTCAATTCCCAGCAACCACGTTAGCTCACAGCCTTTTGTAATGAGTTCTGGCACCCTCTTCTGGCCTGCAGGCATATGTGCAGACAGAACACTGTGTACATAATAAATAAATTAAAAAAAAAAAATAAGGAAGGTAGCTGGCCAGGAACCTGGAGATAAGCCAGAGAGCAGCAAATGTGTCCACAGTTTCTGTTTCAGTTCCTGACTTGAGTTCCTGCTCTGACTTCCCTCAATGATAGATTATAAACTGTGATACGAAATAACCCCCTTTTCTCTCCATGTTGCTTTTGGCTGTGGTATTCATCACAGCGGTAGAAAGCAGGCCACGATGTGTGCATCGATGGCAAAGCCCATGCTCGTTTTGAAATTGTTGTAAAAAAAAAAAAAAAAACCAGCAGATGGCTCCGTGGACAAACATTCCTGTCACCAAACCGGATGACCTGAGTTTGAGTAGATCCCTGGGACCCATGCGATAGAAGAACTCACTCTTGACAGTTGGATTCTGACCTCCAGATGCACGCTATGGTACACATACACGCCACACACTAATAACTAAAATTAACAATAGCACGGATGTAGCCCACCCCTGCTCTAGGTAAGCAGTCTGGCTCCCAACCCAGTCACCCAGCAGGGCTCCGCCACTGACTGCGCATCTTCACGTGCTGCGACACTTCCAGGAGCTCCATCTCCGTGGGCATGTAGCCCAGCGTCCGCATGCAGTCACCCAGCTCCCGGTAGCCGATGCAGCCATCCTGGTCAGTGTCAAACTCCTCAAAGGCAGCCTGCAGCTCTGTAGGGGTTAACAAAGTCAGAGCAGGAATACCCAGGGTCACCGTCCACCTCCCAGCAACAGTGAGACACTCACCCTCCAGCTCCTCAGGACACAGTTCCCGATCCTGTATAGGAATAAGGCCACATGTCCCCACTTGCCACAGCTCCTCCAGCCTCCCACTCCAAGTGCACTGTGCAGGGCTGGCCCCACCAAAGCAGCTGAAGAAGGGTGGAATCCTACAGACCCCATGAGTAGACAGCTACCTTCTCCCATTCTCTTGGAGATCCAAATGGGTTCTCCAAGATGCCTGGTATGAGGAGGACTTCTGCTCCCTATGCCAGTTGATCAGAAGCCAACCTTGTCCTGCATTCACTTCCCCTTGCTGGGTACAAGAAGCCACAACTCTGCCCTGTCCTGTCTTTCCCAATCTGGGACAAGAGGCCCAGACAGTAGGGTCAGGAAGGGATAAAGAAAAGGAGAGTTAGCCTCAAACACCCCCCCCCCCTTTACCCCTGACCTTTCCGAAGATGCGGTTGAGCAGGGGCCCATAAGTCCTTTGGGCAGCATCCTCCTGGGGGTCAGAACGACGTCGGTGGGACTGTCGGTGAGAGGCTTGCCTGGGCGGTGCTGAAGGTGGCTCGCCCTGCCCCACTTTGGTCTTTGGGGCGTTCCTGCTGCTTCCTGAGGCCTCGGAGCCTTGGCCAGAGGACTGCTTCCCAGAACTGGCCTTCTGGGACCCTGGCAGTCGCCTCTCCTTCTTGCTCCTTCTTCTGGTCAAGGTGGGACCCTCAGCAGCACTCCCGGGAGATACAACTCCTTCAGGGGTCTTCTGGTGGCCAGGAACCCGCTGCGAGCCATGCTCTGCTGCCATGCAGAGGATAACGGGACTCAGCGATGCAGCTCCCTGTAGTGCCCTTGGTTCTCAGGGCCCAGAAAACTGCTTAGGGGCCCCGCAGGCTTGAGATGATCACCTGGGATCCACAGTGAGGGGGATTAGGGTAAACGAAGCAGGCAGCAAGCCTAATCTGTGCCCTCTGCCCTAGGGTGTCCTGGCAGCACCAGATGGGTCTTGAAAACTGTTCTTAGGAGTGAGGGTACCAGGACACAGCAGCTGCAGTGGGCTCATACTTAAACTCAACCACTTCTTACCTAGTAGAAGCAGCCAATTCATCCTTCCAAGTCTCAGTTTATCCATCTCTGAAATGGGAGCACACTACTGCAGAGTTAAGCACTCATCCCAGAGTGTGACATGGCTAAATTTAGTGTAGCAAAGACCAGTGAAGGCCCCTGAGACAGGATGAGGGCTACTGGAAAAGACTGAGAGTTGTCACCTTGGGTGTGCAATGGAGTGACATCCTAGTTGGAGCAGAGGGCATTTGAAACTTTAGAAAGGAGGCCTTGGACACTGATGGAGGGGTGGGATTGACATAGTGTGCCCTGGGCTAAAGGAGTCCCAAGCAAAGGGTCTCTGTTACCTAACCTTGGGATGGGGGGCCCTGGCTGGTGACTTAGCCCTATGGGGCCACGGTTAGGGTTTCCCAGAGAGCAGACCCATGAATGATTGATGCTCCCTCAGCTTGGGTTTCCTGCCTGTCCGCCTTCATATCTCCACTGGGCGCCATGCGGCGGGCCCCATCGTGGGGCTGGTTGGTGGCGGACCTTGGGCAATCAGGTGGCACCCTGCTCCTTCTACCTGGCCTGCATCTCCCAGGTAAGCCAGGAAATGCTACAGGCCCTGAGGGAGGGGCATCCAGGCTCTGAAGCCATCAGGGCTAGAACTCATACAGGAGACTCTGCCAAGAAAGAGGCTGCGGTGGGAAGCTGTGGGGATAGTGGCTGCAACCGTGGGTTCCAGGCATGATCCAGGCGTGTTCGGTATGTAGCTGGTAGCTAGTCCCTCTCAACCCTCAGAGGGACGCTTTCTTCCCTCCACCAGCTGGGGGAGGTAGAGTAAGGACAGCAGAAGGCACCGGGGACTCATGCCTGGGCGCCCCTCCCCCACTTCATTGTCAGCTTCCCACTGAGCCCACTGCCTCCTCTCCATAGTAGCTCCAGGGACAAACACGGGAGCAGCACAGGTGGCAATGCAAGACACTGAAGAATCCTAAGCTGCTCTCAGGACACTCCGGGCCAGCCTGCCAGGGTCTGGAGGCACAGACCTCACCTGGCGTCCTGAGGAGGGCACTAACGGCACTGTCCCTCCAGGAATTCTAAGCATTTGAAACCCCATATCAGGATCATGTGAAAGGATAATCCAATAGTTTTCTTTCTTCCTGTTTTGAGATAATTTCTCACGTATCCCAGGCTGCCTTCAAAACCCCAACTATCAAAGGCTAGCCTTGAACTCCTGATCCTCTTGCTCCACTCTCCAATGCTTCGGGTGTGCACCAGTTGCTGCTTTTGTTTGAGAGGTTTTAAAACCCTGTTGTCTAGGCTGACCTTGAACTCATCGCAATTCTCCTGCCTCCGCCTCCCGTGTACTGAGGTTACCAGCATTGCTACCTTTAAACGGTTTTCAAACCCTGTCTTCGCGCACACTAGGGGGTTGCTCCTGCCCCTTTAATCGGAGCACCCCTTCTCCATCCATGGAGATGGTCCACTCCAGCGCTTTACCTTAGAACAAGACTTGGAGCTGCAGGAAAAGAGCTAGGCTGGGCCTGATGGTACACTCCTTAGAATTCCAACACTCAACAAGCAGAGGCAGGAGGATCATTTAAACTTTGAGAGGAGCCTGCTCTACATAGTGACAACTTGTCTCAAAGAAACAAGAGGCAGGGTCAGGGGATGTGAGTCAGTTGGCAGAAGGCGTGCCAGGCACACACGAGGCCTTCGGTCCAATCCTCTCAAGCCTGCATAAGGTGGACACAGTGGTGCATGGCTGTAATCCGAGCACCGGGTAGCCAATACAGGAGGACCAGGAGTTCAAGGCTACCCTCAGCTCTGTAATGAATCTGAGGCCATTTTGGACTATGTGGGATCTTGTCTCATGCCACTGTCCCCCGGCTTGTCTCAAAAATTGAAAAACTGAAGCCGGGCGATGGTGGCACACGCCTTTAATCCCAGCACTCGGGAGGCAGAGGCAGACGGATCTCTGTGAGTTCGAGACCAGCCTGGTCTACAGAGCTAGTTCCAAGACAGGCTCCAAAGCCACAGAGAAACCCTGTCTCGAAAAAAAAAAAATTGAAAAACTGGGCTGAAGAGATGAGATGGCTCGGCTGTTAAGGCATTTGCTGCTCTTGCAGGGGAACCAGGTTCAGTTCCCAGCATTTGCATGATAGCTCCCAACTGTCACGTAACTCCAGTTCTAGGGGACCCGATGCCCCTTTTTGGGCTCCACAGGCACCATCACACACAAAGTGCATATATATATACATTCAGGTAAACACTTCATACCCATAAAATAATAAATAATTCTTTTCCTTTTTGAGACAGAGTCTCACTATGTAGCCCATAGCTGGCCTGGAACTTGCTATGCAGACCAGGCTAGCCTTGAATTCAGTCCCCTATGTCTGTGCTTCCCAAGTGCCAGAATTAAAGGCATTTGTCACCATGCCTGGCCCCAAAAAATAAATTAAAAAAAAAAAGTCAAAGCTGGCATGGTAGTACATGTTAGTAACCCCAGCATTTAAAAGGCTAAGACAAAGATGGTCTCAAGTTTGAGGCAGTCCTGATCTACACAGAAAGTGCCAGGCCAGCCAGGGTTCCACAGCAAGACCTTATTTCCAGACAGTATTTATCAGCCTCCTTAATAAACTTGAAAACCTCTGGTTTAGTCCACTTCGGCATGTGGATTCTATATGGCAAGATGGTTAAGTCTAGTCTGAGTTGCTGACCATATCTGGAACCTTCACCAAGTCACAGAGTTAGTGGACAATCCTCTCCTCACTGGTAACATTGATTATAGGGGGACCACATGAGATTATGTATGTGAGTGCCAGGCACGGGCTAACCGCTGGCCCAGAGAGGAGCAGTGCCTGGTCGGGTGGCCAGCACCACCTCTCTCACACCCAGCCATCACATTTGTTGATTCAGCAGACTGGCAATCCATGTCCAGCGCTACCCTGAGGACCCGGAATGGACAGTGCTATGGAAGCCAACCTGGGAGCTGCTGGCCACGGTCCCCGCACAGAGCTCAATGACGAGGACTACTACCCCCAGGGCAGCTGGGACACTGTCTTTCTGGTAGCCTTACTGCTCCTGGGACTACCAGCCAATGGGCTGATGGCATGGCTGGCTGGCTCGCAGGCCCGACACGGGGCTGGCACGAGACTAGCCCTGCTCCTGCTCAGCCTGGCCCTCTCTGACTTCTTATTCCTGGCAGCAGCGACTTTCCAAATCCTGGAGATCCAGCACGGAGGGCACTGGCCACTGGGCACTGCTGCCTGCCGTCTCTACTACTTCCTATGGGGTGTGTCCTACTCCTCCGGCCTCTTCCTATTGACAGCCCTCAGCCTGGACCGCTGCTTGCTGGCGCTATGCCCACGCTGGTACCCAGGGCACCGCCCAGCCCGCCTGCCCCTCTGGGTGTGCGCTGGGGTCTGGGTGCTGGCCACACTCTTCAGTGTGCCCTGGTTGGTTTTCCCTGAGGCTGCTGTCTGGTGGTATGACTTGGTCATCTGCCTGGACTTCTGGGATAGCGAGGAGCTGCCTCTGCGGATGCTTGAGATCTTGGGGGGCTTCCTGCCCTTCCTCTTGTTGCTGGTCTGCCACGTGCTTACCCAAGCCACCACTTGCAGGACCTGTTGTGGGCACCAGCCTAGGCCTATGGTCTGCCATGGCTTTGCCCGTGTGGCCAAGACTATTCTGTCCGCCTATGTGATTCTGAGGCTACCCTACCAGCTGGCACAGCTGCTCTATCTGGCTTTCTTATGGGATGTCTACCCTGGATACCTGCTCTGGGAAGCCCTGGTCTATTCTGACTACCTGATCCTGCTCAACAGCTGCCTGAGCCCCTTCCTGTGCCTAGCAGCCAGTGCTGACCTCCGCGCCCTGCTGCGCGCTGTACTTTCCTCCTTCGCAGCTGCTGCCTGTGAGGAACAGCCTGGCAGCTTCACACCTACTGAGCCACAGACCCAGGTGGTCTCTGTGAGCCTGACTCCGCCAGGACAGACAGCTGAAGGCCAGCCACGGTTGGATCCTGTGGGCCAGCCTCAGGAGAATCCCTCTGTTCAGCCACAGTCCGATTCTGTGGTCCAGCCTGAGGTGAGCCCCTCAGTACAGCCACAGTCAGACTCTGTGGTCCAGCCTGAGGTGGACTCCCTAATCCAGCCACCATTGGATCCTGTAGTTCAACCTGAGGTGAACCCTTTAACCCAGTCACAGTTGGAACCCATGGATCAACCTCAAGTGACTCCTTCAGCCCAACCACAGTCAAATTCTGTGGTCCAGACTCAAGTGGACTCCCTGACCCAGGCACAGTTGGATCCTGTGGCCCAGCCACAAACAAACATGGAGGCCCAGACCCCTGCCTATGGGGCTGAGTCAGCCTCTAACCCTGGTGAGGAAAGCTCCCCCAGTCCATCCCCAGATCCCAAGCTTGGGGCCCCTGAGAACCTAGATGAGCCGGCTGTTCTTGAGGGAGAAGGCCCGAGTAGTGTCCCACCACAAGTGGCCCCCAGCGCCGGTCCTACTTGAGTGACCTGGAAGCCCAGGCTTGCCAAGGCGGAGAGAGTCAGAGAGAGCCAGCTGGGCGAGAGGGGGAACATGAAGAAACAGTGAAAAACCCCATTGATTCCCTTGAGCCTGCCAGGGGGGCTGAGGAGAAGTGAAACCTGTTAGTCAAAGGTCCAATATAGGGTGTTGTATCCACACCCTGGCCTCACCAGGCTTTCCCGTTACGACCCCCCCACACTCACAGCCACCCCACATCCTTGTCCTGCTGGGTTCCAGTGCCCCCGGATCCATGCTTCCCCTTCTTGCCTCCAATCTGGTGGAGGAAGACTTCCTCTGATGGCCCTCTAACCTTTCCCTCACTTTCCCCATCCCTGTCCGGTTCTCTAGCTTGGGCATCAAACAGAAAAGTCCCTGTAGAGAGGGGAGGCTTCTAGGAGCCCACAGCCCAAAGTAGGAACCAGTTGGCCAAGCCCAGCCAAGCATACTGAGACATTCTCCTGCCCCTAATACACAGAGCCTGGGACATGATTTCCCTAGCAAGGTGCAGCCAAGAATGGGGAGCAACCAGACAAAAGTGAGGAGCGGCCAAGCCTGGATTCAAATCCAGCTCTGCCACACCCTGGCCTGGTAACTGGGCAAGCTTTGGGGCTGTTTGAGGGTTAACTGAGAGAGTGAATGGGGCATCTGCAGGAGCCTGGCACACAGCGAAGCTCTGGGCCAGATGACCTTTTCCTTCACTGACATACAAACATGGCTCTTCAGGGGCTGGGACTGGATAGCAGAAGGACAATGCCACTCTCTGCCCGGAGCACCCAGGATCCTCTGATTGCTTAGGTTGACAAATTTAGAGGGAGACTCACAAATCTTCAAAGTCTGACTCCATCCAAGAGCCTAACTAATGTCACCTGCCTCCAGCCTTCAGGGATGGCCGGACAGGATCGGGGTGGGGGTGGGGGGAGCTGCAGGGAGCAGAGTGTGCTGGAATTTGAACCCAGGACACACACAGGCAGAGATCCCTGGGCAGTATGGTCCCAGGAAGGGCAGAAGCTCCCAGAGTCATAAGGCTGAGCCAGTTCTTCCTCTCTAGCTGCAGATGCTGCAAGGGAAAACTGAAACAGGAAGTGCAGCAAATTGTTTGCCACCCACCCCCCTCCCATCAGCCCCTCTTCGCCCAGATGAGTGGTTCTCCTCCCCAACTCTCCCAGACCAGGTCTCCCTCTCCGCCCCCTTTGCATTTGTGAGTGGATGAGAGAATGACCTCAGCAGCAGGTGTCCCTGATGATGGGGTTGATGGGAATTTTTTTTCTGGGAAACTTGCATCTTAAAAAGGCAAGGTGGCAGGCTGTGCAGGCAGCGGGGAGGGGTGCAGTCAGATCTGCATGTCTGTCGATTTTCTGATCTGTAAGATGGGGGTAATGTGCCGGGCATGGCTCACTCCTGCAATCCTAGCACTCAGGATGCCAAAGCAGGAGTCTCATAAGTTTAAGGTCAGCCTGGGCTACATAGTGAGATTCTGGGTCAAAGAAAACAAGGGTTAGTGAGACTGGAGAGATGGCTTAGCAGCTAAGAGCATATAATATTCTTGTAAAGGACCAAAGTTGGTTCTCAAACCCCACATGTGGCAACTTACGCACATGAAACTCCAGCTCCAGGAACTCTAGTGCCCCCTTCTGATCTCCATGGGACCTGCACACACGTGTGTACATATACACATGCAGACAGATACACATATAAATTGGATTAAATAAATCTAAAGAAAAGAAAAAAAGGAGAGACTGGGGATATAACTCAATAGTAGGAGGCTTGCCTAAAACATTCAAGGCCTGGGCTCAGTCAGTTGCATTGCAAAATGACGGTATGTTCTCTTGCTGGTGATCACAAATATGGGGTACACACATGAGAAGGCACAGAGTGGCTGTGACAGTTTCAAAACGTAATGGTAGCCTGATGGGATGACAGGCACTGTCTTAGTCACTGTTCTGTTGCTGCAAAGAGACACCATGGCCAAGGCAATTCTCATTAAAAGAAAGTAATTGGGAGGCTTGCTTGCAGTTTCAGAGGCTTAGTCCATGATCATCATGGCAGGAAGTAGTGTGGCAGACATGGTCCTGGAGAAGTAGTCAAGAGCTACATCCTGGTCTTCAGGCAGAAAGAATGAAATGGGCCTAGCATGGGCTATTTACTTATTTATTATGTATATAGTGTTCTGGGAACCAGATCTCATTATACATGGGTGTGTATCATCATGTGGTTGCTGGGAATTGAACTCAGGACCTCTGGAACAGCAGTCAGTTCTTTTAACCTCTGAGCCATCTCTCCAGCCCCATGGGCTTTTTAAACTTCAAAGTCCACCTCTGTGACACACTTTTTCCAACAAGGCCGCACCTCCGGATCCTTCTATCAATGAATCCTACTCCCTGGTGACTAAGCATTCAAATATATGAGCCTATAGGGGTCACTCTTATTCAAACCACCACAGGCAACAAAGTCAGTGGGAGAGAAAGATTTCTGAAGTATTTGTTGAATTAACTCCTCTAATGAATATATATATTTGTTTTTTTAAGACAGGGTTTCTCTGTGTGTAGTTCTGGCTATCCTGGAACTCACTTTGTAGACCAGGCTAGCTTCAAACTCAGATCCTGAATGCTGGGATTGAAGGCATGCGCCACCACTGCCTGACTCTAACAAATATTTAATGACCATTTACCTACCAGATAGTTTTCTGACCAGCCTTGCACTTTAGAGATTCATGTTAAAAAAAAAAAAAAAAAAAAAGAGAGAGAGAGATTCATGTTTACAGTTCAGGGTGTTGCTAAAGGTTGCTGGGCCCTGGCTTCACCATTCATTCATTGTGTGGCCTTCAGCAAAGCTCTTAGGCTTTTTGGAACTTGTTTTGCCCATTTGTAAAATGGGTATTATAATGATTGACCTATCTGTCACGTGTGGCTCTTTGATAGAGAGTAAGCCTTCAATCACGGCCAGTCATTAAATTTGATTTGATAATGGGCACCCTGAAACCAAATGAGGCCTAGGCCAGCGCCCTCCTGGCAGGTAGCTTGGGCACCAATTACACATCTCCTTACACTACCATGGTGCCTCCTCCTCAGGAAAGGTTCACCTTCCCCCTGTCCCTGTCCATTTGCTGGAGTTCACAGTCTCTGAGGGCAGAGCCTAGATTTTGGTCTCCTTTGGGGCACTCTTCAGGGATCCTATGCCTTCTCCTGACAGGGGTCCCAATGCCTCCTCAACATCAGATCAGAAAATAAAATTTCCCTGCCTTCAGCTGTGGCCCACCCCACAAGTTCTACCCCTTAAGGAGTGAGCCAGCCCTACCTCCAAGGTCCCCAGGGGGAGTCTCACCGGTATGGGAGAATTGCTACCCAGAAGAAAGAGCTGCACCCTGGGAAGTTTACAGGATAAAGAGGAGTTTTCCAAGTGGTCCACAGAACAGGTTTGTGTTGAAGAAGATGGAGCCAGAAAAGGAGAGCACAGCCCCCAGCTCAGGGAACACACCACACCCCAGGGGACTTGCTGCCTCCTGGGGGACTCCTTCCTCCAGGTAAGATCCCTGTGTCCCCCGAAAGGAACCAGATGTTGGTTCTGAGGACTGTGAATATTAATATTTTGCAATTCTATCTTCAGGCCTGCTGCTCATTTATTCTCCAGCATGAAGTGGTTTGACACTGGGTGCTGGGCGGGGTCTTCTTCTTCTGGGTACCAGAAGGACAAGGCGGGGGCGGGGGGGGGGGGACACATGACAAAGTCCCTGTCTTTTGTTTGCTGGCAGGAATCTTAGCAGGGTGCCAAACAATTACACAGTGTGGTATTTGGGACTACGAATAGCAAATGGGGATGAGGAAAAGCCAGGCAGTGACTGGGTGAGGGGAGCCCAAAAGGGCCCTCAGTGGAGGCCTGGCGTCATTGAAGTTCCTCCAGGCCAGGAAGAGCTTCCAGAAGGAGGAAGGGAACAGGATGTGCTGGCCTGAGGAGGCAGTGAGGGTTTGGATCACCAGATGCACGCTGAGAGGACTGTGGTAGGTGTCCCGGATGGTCGGCAGGAGTCAGGCAGGAATTCTGGGAGAGGAACATGGGGACTATGGATTCTATTTGCAGTGGGGTGATGTGGGGGAGGGGGATATTTGGAACTGTGGCACCTGACCTGATGTGGGCTTCCCACAGAACCCCTCAATGCCTGTCCTGCCACATCCTGCCTGCATGGCTCCAGGGTTTGTGAACAGTGAGAAAACCAAAGTCTTTGGGAATAACAGAACAAGATGGAATCCCAGCTGGGAGGCCTCAATCAAGCATCTGTCCCTCCCGGCCTGTTTCTTCACAGAGTGTGGTGACCACTGAAAAGGGTCACAAGTCCACCCCCCCACACACACACAGGGGCGGGCTGGGGGGCTTCATGCAGGCTAAACAAAGCACTTCTTACCTCCCTGCTCTTGCTCCTCCCATGTACCTGTTTACTTTCTGGGAAAGACACCCATTATCACCACCGGTCACCCAGGGAGGTGGCCGCAGAGGAAGGAATGTTATCTTGTGGGTCCTAAGGGGGCCCCTAAGTTCTCCAGGACGAGACAAGATAGGCGAATCTGAGGAGGCAAACAGGCAAATTTAGGCTCCTATGAAATGGAGGAAAGGAAGGTGCACAGGAGCCACAATCAAATCACCTTCTTCGATTTTTACTAAGCCCAAGGAGGAACCACACGTGTCCATCAGGATGTATGATGGACTTCCACTTCTTCAGGTTACATAGTTAACCGACATCATGAACTCCCAACCTTGAAACTGGCACCTATGGCTGGGTGTGGTGGCACATGCGTTTATTTGCAGCACTTGGGAGGCAAACGCAGGCAGGCAGATCTCTGTGCGTTCTGTGCCAGTTCCAAGCCAGCCAAGTGTGCATATTAATAGGGTCCTGTCTCAAACACAAAAAACACGTGAAAAGGGTGAAGGCGGAGCGAGAGGATCCTGGCCGGTAGCACCGGGTAGGGAAATCGGAGGGCAAGTTTCACCCTTCTCCAGGAGACTCCAGGAGACTCGCACAGTACCTGTGCGGTAGTATCAACCAGGCCCAGCCCGGTGCAAATCTACTGGTCGAGTGAGGGCCTAGCGACCAGGCCTCGCCCCGTGGGCGGGTCATTACAAAGCCCCGCCTTCTGCGCGTGACCTGCCCCGCCCCCGCTCCACTCCTCTGTCACTTCCTGATTCCCGCTTCCTGCTTCCCAGAGGCCGGGATCCGGAGCCGCCCGAGGTTGCAGCCGCAGTCCCGGGCGCCCCTGGCGAGCGGTGAGCGGTGAGAGCGGCAGGGCCGGAGTAGAGGCGCAGGCGTGGGCTGGGGCGGGGGGGGGGGCATGAGTCAGAAGAGCGCATCCCCTCCGCGGCGCCCCACCCTCAATCCCAATCCCCCTCCCCCAGCGGCCCATCTTTCCTTTCCTGGGCAGGGATCTTTGGAAGTTGGGTCTCTGGTGTTCTTTGGACGATGCTCTGAGGCCACTTTGAGGACCTGGCAGCATCCTCGAGACCCCTGTTCTGCCAGGGTCTCTATGCCGGACTTCCTGCACCTCTTTGCACATTCCCTGGGACTCAGCTGCGGCCTAGTTGGAAAACCCTTTTGCTGCCTTGTCTCCTCATCACCCAGCCTCCAAACTCTGGCCGTGTAAAGCTGCTTGGAATCATTTGGGAGCTATAGATCGAAGCTCTGTGTTCCTTGCAGCAGCATCCGTACACACATGCGTGTGCGCGTGCACACACACACACAGATAACAGAGCTACGGAAGGCCTTGGGGGGAAGAGTCTGTTGGTCTTCACCTATGAACCCATTCTCTAAGTGGGGAAACTGGAATTCCCAATGTCATCATGACCACTTCCCTGGTAACATGGCTCTGTGTGTCTCTTTGGAGGCCAGTGCTGATCCAGGTGTCTCTGCCCTGTAGATATGTCCTTCCGAAAAGTGGTGCGACAGAGCAAATTCCGGCATGTGTTCGGACAGCCGGTCAAGAATGACCAGTGCTATGAGGATATTCGAGTGTCCCGGGTCACCTGGGACAGTACCTTCTGCGCCGTCAACCCCAAGTTCCTGGCAGTGATTGTGGAAGCCAGTGGCGGGGGAGCCTTTATGGTGCTCCCTCTAAGCAAGGTGGGCCCCAGGGGTCAGGGTGGAGAGGAGGAATGAGAGCATGCTGGCCACACCTGTGGACAGGTAGTTTGTGTCATTTCTTGGCCCATGGCTCCTGCTGGACAAGTTATAGTCCAGATTTATTGCCCAGGAGGTGTTGTGCAAATAAAAAGTGTTTATTGCCACCAGGTTTGGATGGTAGGCTGCAGGCATTTCCTGCACAGAGTCATATCTGGGCCACCAGGAACGAGGGTAGTCACCTCATTCTTTCATCATGAAAGGGCCACAGATGCTGGGAGGAATGGGGACTAGGGCTGTTGGTTCCCCTCTGACTGCACCTTAATGCCTACAGACAGGCCGCATTGACAAGGCCTACCCAACAGTGTGTGGGCACACAGGACCTGTTCTGGACATTGACTGGTGTCCCCACAATGATGAAGTCATTGCCAGTGGCTCAGAGGACTGCACAGTCATGGTGAGCATAGGACTGTTCAGATGAGGGTCTCGGGGTGTAGCCGGAGGTTGCTGTCAGTGGGGCCAACACAGGCCTGCACCCATCCTCCCTCTCCCTACCACAGGTATGGCAGATTCCAGAGAATGGGCTGACCTCACCTCTGACTGAGCCAGTAGTGGTGCTTGAGGGGCACACCAAGCGTGTGGGCATCATCACCTGGCACCCCACAGCCCGGAATGTGCTTCTCAGTGCAGGTCTGCCCACTCCCTGCCCCTTCATACCCTTCTCCAGGGTGGCCGTGGAATGTTCAGCAGCCTCTCACAGGCCAATCCGGAAACTGATGCCTACAGAGAGGGAAACCTAATTTAGTACCAGTGGGCAGAGTGGGTCTAGCGGGCTGACGGCCCCACAGCTGCAGCCCCAAGCCTGATAGAGCTGCTGATCGTTTGCCTCCCAGGTTGTGACAATGTGGTGCTTATCTGGAATGTGGGCACTGCAGAAGAGCTGTACCGCCTCGACAGCTTGCACCCTGACCTCATCTACAACGTGAGCTGGAACCACAATGGCAGCCTCTTCTGCTCAGCTTGCAAGGACAAGAGTGTCCGCATCATCGATCCCAGGCGGGGCACCCTGGTGGCAGTAGGTATCCCAGAGGGCAAGAATGGCAATATAGAGACTCAGGGCCCTGACCTGCACTGCACTGACCACCTGTCCATCCCACAGGAGCGGGAGAAGGCTCACGAGGGGGCCCGGCCCATGCGGGCCATCTTTCTGGCCGATGGCAAGGTGTTCACCACCGGTTTCAGCCGCATGAGTGAACGTCAGCTGGCACTCTGGGACCCAGTGAGTGATTTGCCAGCCTAAGGCGGGCAGGCTTGAGACCTGGGCCTCACCCTAGGATACTCCTCCCTGGGCCAGGCAGACAGAGATCAGCATGGAGGAGAATCCTGCACTGCTTAGATCCTCAGCCTGGCCCTTGAGACTTCCCTCCCTTCCCTGACTCCAGCTCTCTGGCTCTCCCTGGCTCTCCTCCAGTGCCTCCTACACTCTTCTTTCTGCTTGCACAAACCATAAAGGTACCCTCCTCCTGGGAGCCCCCAGGCCCTGCCCTGCTACACTCTGTCTCTCAGCAAAGTGAACTTGAGGGCCCCTTTGAGGCCTGGGCTGGTACCATCTGGCTCTTCAGCCTTCCTGTAACCAGACTTTCTCAGCCCTTGCCTGTCGGTTTGGGAATAGGATTATGGCCCAGAGAAGGCTGGGAATGGAGAAAACCATTAGCATGTTGGGGAGTGTTGCTATCTGTTGTGTGAGACTGGCTGACGCCAGTCCTGAAGGGTTCAGAATGAGAAGATTCTGACTTGGCCCCATTTTCCCCCATGTACTTAGGACAACTTTGAGGAGCCTAAGGCCATGCAGGAGTTGGATTCAAGCAATGGGGCCCTGCTGCCCTTCTATGACCCAGATACCAGTGTGGTCTATGTCTGTGGCAAGGTGAGGCTCGGTGGGGCAACAGACTGGGGCTGAGAGGCCGGGAAAGGGTCTGGTCAAGTGCTCAACTTCTTTACCCCCACAGGGCGACTCCAGCATCCGGTACTTTGAGATCACAGACGAGCCTCCCTATATCCACTTCCTGAACACATTCACGAGCAAAGAACCCCAGAGGGGTATGGGTAGCATGCCTAAGAGGGGCTTGGAGGTCAGCAAGTGTGAAATTGCCCGGTAAGAAGGTTCTCTGAGGCAGCTCTCTATAGGCAGAGTTTATTTGAGGACCCAGTCAGGATTGGGAGGGGCGGGGTGGCTCAGACTGAGCATGACCAGGTCATCAGCATCCACAGTAAGAGTTCAGATGATGGAGGCTAAGTTAGGCATGGTGCCATACACCTGTCATCCCAGCATTTGGGAGTTCAGAGGACTGCAAGTACAGAGAGGCTAGCCTGAGCTACATAGTAAGTTCAAGGTCAGTCTGAACTGTGTAGCAAGACCTTATTTCAAGCAGAAAGCAAAGGAAAGGGCTGGCAGTGTAACTCAGTTGGTGGCGTGCCTGCCTCGCACAAAGCCCAGGGTCCCGCCGCCACAGCACTGTAATGCGAAAGAAGCGGTTCAGGAGGCAGAGCTGGGAGAATCAAAAGTTCAAAGTCACCCTTGCCTCTACAGGATATCCAAGGCCAGCCAGGGATATAGGAAACCATGCTTCAAAAAATAAAAGGAATAGCATAGGCCTTTAATCCCAGTTTCCTGCAGAGGTAGGCTGATCTCCATGAGTTTGAAGAAAGGATGGTCTACATAGTGAGTTTCAGACTTCAACAGCTGTACAATGAGACCCTGTCTCAAAAAAGAAAGAAAGAAAGAAAGAAAGAAAGAAAGAAAGAAAGAAAGAAAGATCACAACCACAAAGTTGCCTAGGATCACTCTAGAGGCACCCTTAAGAGAGGGAGGCCATAAGCAGAAGTCACCAGGCAGCCTGTAGAAATGTCCAGGTTCCACCGTGGCTCCCCTCTCTTTTCCAGGTTCTACAAACTGCATGAGCGCAAGTGCGAGCCTATAGTCATGACTGTGCCAAGAAAGGTGAGGCTGCTGACCCCGCCCCCCACGCCCTTCCCAGCAGAGGGGCCACGCCAGGGCAATGGGCAAGGTTGGGAGATGAGCTGGAGGGATGACACAGGGTGCGCTGAGGCCCTGCAGTGACAGAGGCCAGGCACTAAAGAGCAGGGTAGCAGGGATAGAGGGCCTTCATAGGAGGAAGGACCAACAGTAGGATTGGGTGGTGCTCTGTTGGGAGGGGGCTAGAAGGACAGGGGCTCTGGCCTTGAATCCCATTGGGGAGGGGCCTGGCTACAGTGACTTGTCCTCAGATGCGGAGCCTGGAGCCTATAACACATTCCCGCTATTCTCCATTTGGTATTCACAGGCTCAGTGTGCCAGGCACGTCCTGGAGCAAAGCCCACAATCCTTCTATGGGGCTTGCAGGACTCACAGAGCCATACAGCTGGCCCTTGTGGTCTGCCGGAGAGGGTGCCAGCAAGGGCTGTGCCCAGGAGGAACTGACAAGACTTGAATGGGAACATTGGAAAAGAAAGTGAAAGGGGAGATTGGCGCTCTCAAGGTCCCTGGGGATCAGATCTTTGGAGGATGGGTTGATAAGAGTCCACTGAGTCAGAATGGGCGGTGGTGGCACACACCTTTAATCCCAGCGCTCAGGGAGGCAGAGGCAAGTGGATCTCTGAGTTTGAGGCCAGTCTGGTGACTTCCAGGTCAGCCAGGGCTACACAGAAACCGTCTTGAAAAAGAAAAAAAGAAAAAAAAGTCAGGAGGGTGTTGAGGATGCAGCTACTCAGAGACCAGATGTGAGAGCCCTGGTAGGGCCCCCAACTGATTCTGACCTCTCCTGCCTGGTGCGCAGTCTGACCTCTTCCAGGATGATCTGTACCCTGACACAGCCGGACCTGAGGCTGCTCTTGAGGCAGAGGATTGGGTGAGCGGGCAGGATGCAGACCCGATCCTGATCTCACTACGGGAAGCCTATGTGCCCAGTAAACAACGGGACCTGAAGGTCAGCCGGCGAAATGTGCTATCGGACAGCCGGCCTGCCAGTTCCAGCCGTCCCGGAGCCGCCACCGCCACCACAATTACGGATGTTCCCATTGGCGCCCTTGCTGGGGCTGGTGTATGTGTCCTACATTTGGGGATCCTTTCCAATTGGCTGGGCCTTGGGCCTTTACTGTAGGGGTAGGTTATGGCTGGTGCCCTCTGACTTCCATGTTTTTGCAGGAATCTGGGAAACTGGAAGAGGTGATGCAAGAGCTTCGGGCACTCCGGGTGCTGGTCAAGGAACAGGGGGAGCGCATCAGCCGCCTGGAGGAACAGCTGGGCCGCATGGAGAATGGGGATACATAGGACCACCAGGGACCTGCTCCCGACACTGCCTCCTCCGCACCCCCTCTCACCTAGCTTCTGTGGCCAGGTCACAGCAGGCACTTTGCTGCTTAGTGCCTCTGGGGCAGGTCAGGGCCAGTTTGCACCTCTCCACAGCCTGGGGCCCAGGTTGGAAGCACCATCTGGCTTTTGGAAGATTTTTGTACCAAGGCAAACTCCCAAGTACTTCAAGGGACCATCTTCTCAACCTGCCCAGCCCACTGCCCCCTCCCCAGAGAAAGCAGCAGAGATGGTTCTATATTTTCATTTTAAATAAAATGCTCTTTCTAAAGCCAGGTTTGACCTGCTGCTGTGGAGGGTTGGGGCGCACTAGGAAGGGAAACTGCAAACTTTATGTGGAAAGTAGCTCCTGCGTACTTGAATTCCACCATGCAGAGAAACTGAGGCAAAAAGGGTGTGAGAGATGGGTTAGTGGATAAAATCACTTGCTAAGCAAGCCTGATGACCTGAACTTGATCCCTGCAACCCATGATAGAGAGAGATCTAACTTCCGTATATACCCACATGTGCAGGCATGTGCAGAGTTGATTTGTTTTCCTGAGACAGGGTTTCTCTGTAGTCCTGGCCATCGTGGTACTCTGTAGATCAAGGTGGCCTGGAACTCAAGAGGTCTGCCTGCCTTTGCCTCTTGTTTTGATTTCTAAAGGCTAGTCCGGTACACACCTTTAGTCCAAGAACACTCCAGGGGTAGAAGCAGGAGGATCACCTTGAGTTCCTGGCCAGCCAGAGCCACACAGTGGATGTCCTGTTTCAGTTAGATGCACACTTCCTCCCTTTGGAGTTCTGGTCTTAGATCCTGTAGCCACAACCTCACCTAGAGAGGCCTGGGAAGATTTGGTATGTGTCTGGGGATCCCGAGAGGCTGAGACCCCATGAGGGTCCTATGATAGGCTAGAGTGGGTGGGGTGTTTCAGGCAGGAAACGGAAGTGTCAGTAACTCCTACTAGCTACTATACTTGAGCGCGCTCTGGAGCTCACTTCTCACTAAACACAGCCAGTCAGAGGTGGGTGCCCGTGCAAAGGCCATCGGATCAATGGTGAGCTATGGAGCCCTCTGGGTTCTTGGGGCACAGGGGGCTAGGGATGGGTTTTCGGGATTTCAGAGCTAAAGGGTCCCCTCACAAGAGACCTGGGGTAGAAAAGCCCAGGACTAACATGGGGTGGAACCTGGCCTTCACCTCAGAGCTAGGCTCCCTGGAATTCAGGGTAGGTCCTGTAGTACCCATTCTAGTTGTGGCCTTATTCCAAAACCCTTGGAATAGTCCCTCATCTGATCCCCTCACGAGCTGAGTTTGGGTGTGACTCCTACCCTGGAGCCTGGTGTGCTAAGGGAGGCTTGCACCCAGCACCCCTCCCCCACCACTACCACACCCCCCACCTGCTTTGTTCCAACCGCAGGCTTCCTTTAGCTATACATACTGCCCCAAACTGAGTCTTGGCCCTGCACAGCCTGAGGCCCTCCAGGGCAGAACGGGGAGCTGAACGGAAACCCTGCAGCTGGGGCAGCCCCATGGTTGAGAGGAGGGGCTTCAAAGATCCCCCCCATCCTAGGACCAGTCGACCTCTGAGTTGTTCTAGATACCTCCATCAAGGCCTCCAGAGAGCCACCTGCTCCCTCCACTGCCCAGGCAGGCCATTTTAACACATCCAGCTAATGGCCACTAAACATCTAGGTGCCACCATGGCTTTAAGTGGTGTCCCCTCCCAATTCTATCATCTAGGAGCTTATTCTGATGGGAAAGGGAATAATCCATTTCTCTCTGGTGTGGGATCTGATGGGAGAAGAGTAATTAAGGGGCCAGTTAGCTGTAGAGGTCTGGTGGGTCTCATCGGCCATGGCAAGCAGGCAGGCTTGAGGCTGCGGAAGTCCAGCGTCTGAGCAGAGGGCCAGCCAGTGCACAGGCCTCAGGCAATGGCAGACCAGGGGCAGTGAGAAGCGACTGCAGGGTTAAGTTGAAGGCAGTCACACTAGGGCAAGGCCTTAACCAAATAAGGGCTGGGGATTTTCTGCTTGACTGTCCCTGTTTTGCCTGAGGCAACTAAGAACTGTGTCAGAAGAGATCAGAGATGGATGGTTTCATCAGTAACAACTTCTTCCTGCTGTCTCCCACAGGCTCTGCCTGGTACCCTCAGATTTAGGGTGCTGTTAGCCCTGCCCGGGGCCCTGGCCTCCGGGGTAGGCACGGAGGATGGTGCAGGCTCCAGTGCTGTCACCATCATCCTGCTGTTCCTGCTCCTGCTGCTACTTGTCACCGCCCTGGCCTTCGCCTGGCATCGCCTCAGCCGTGCCTCGGGGGGCTACTACCACCCAGCTCGCCTGGGTGCTGCGTTGTGGGGCCACACCCGCCGCCTGCTCTGGGCCAGCCCTGCAGGCCGCTGGCTTCGGGCCCGCACTGACCTGGGATCCCCAGAGGAACCAGGGCAGCAAGAGGATGAGCAGGATGCAGAAGAGGATTGCATGATGGATGGTGGCCCTGAGGAAGCTGGTCCCCAGGAAGAGGAGCAGCGGTGTGAAGCCGGAGATCAAGCAAAGCAGGCCCCAGCAGCATATGACACAGACAGTGAAGGGGGCCTGGGCCTCAGCTCACAAGGTCCCGTGGGCTCAGGCAGCAGTGCTGAGGCCCTTCTGAGTGACCTGCACGCCTTTTCAGGTAGTGCGGCCTGGGATGACAGTGCTGGAAAAGCGGGGGGCCAGCGCCTTCATGTCACCGCACTGTAGGATCCAGCCTGCTGTCCTGTCCCTGCCCCAGCCTCTGACTGTCTCTTTCCATGCTGTCCTGATGAAACAAAAACCAGCCTGGACCATCATCATCCCACGCAGCTTCTCAGACTGCCACCCCGACCAGTTTCCCAGTGTCCCCCTCCCCTCCCCAGGCACTGGGCAGATACTGAAAATAAAACTCCTTAAGTCCTGAGGTCTGGAGTCCTTCAGCAACCCTCCTCTCCCTCCTCTCCCTCAATGGGCCATTCTGGGGTCCTGGGGTCCAGAGAAAGCTACTCTGCCATGATTCAGTCCTTTAATTCTCTAAGGGCACAGGTGAGCTCCCTTCTGGCGGGATGGGCGTTAGACCCGTGGTGAGTCGCTGCCAGGGCTGCACGCTGCAGCCCTCCATGTGCATGATTACAGGGCTCAGCCACCCAAGAGAAAAACACCCAGGTGGGAGGCGGCCGGGTCCTCACAGCCGACAGGGAACAGGCCTCAGGGCTGCCCTCTTCCTCTGTTCTCAGCGTCCTGGGCGCCCACGGCCCTTCTTGGATTTCTTGGTCCCTGAGGGGGGACGGATGGGAAGAGGGGCAGTGCTTGTGGGTGGTGGTGGTGATGGTGGTGGCAGGAGTGGAGGTAGAGATGGCTCCATGGGCTCTGGTGGGCCAGGGCTGGGCCGGAACCCCTCAAAGGGAGAGAACTTGAGGGGGCTGCAGGAAAAACCAAGGCAGAGTCAGAGCCTCCTAAGCTTAGGCAGGAATACTGGCAGTAGGCCCACAAACTGCCATTTTAGCAGCCCGTTGCAGATGTACAGGGACTGAGGTCCTGTGGTGGGCAGGAGACTAAGGCTAGCCCTAAAGAAGAGCTTGGCCAGCAAAGGTAGTCTATGCTAGAGAGACCCACCCCAGTCACACGCTTGCCCTGTCCCTGGGTACCTGATGGGGGTGCGGGGGCTGCTATTAAGGCGCCTGGGGGAACGCAGCTTGGGCTGGAAAGAGAAGCCCTCCTTGATGCTGTCCAGGACAGAAGGTGCCACGTACGTGAAGCCCTGTGGGGAAAGGCCAGGTCAGCCGATGCTTGGCACTTCCAGTCTCTGGCTACAATCCCTGCTCTGGTCCCCATACCCCCCCACGCCCTTACCAGGAAGGCTTGATTGGCACTCTCACTGAGGGCTGTGTCATCTGGACTATCTACTGGAGTCTGCCGTGTAAAACGGGTATCAAACTGGCTCACGTCCTCTTCTGACTGCTGTGGGAAGATCCATGTTGAAAATTAGGGGGATCTAAAGGGCAGGGTCTCCACCTGCCATGGGGGCTAAAAGGATCCCCAGATACTCACCAGACTTGGCCTAAAGGGAGGGTCCACCCGGCGGGCCAAGAGGTCATCCCAATTGATGTGCCGGAAGAAAGGGTGCCTCTGAGGGTGGAGGGTGCCCAGGAACATGTCAGAGATTCACCTTGCCTAGCTCCCTGCTTTAGCCCACTTCATCCTCTGGCCCCAACTCCTTATGCTATCCCCAGACTCACCTGCACCTCAGCAGCATCTCCTGGGCCACCCCCAACTCGCTGAACGGGATTCCGCTTCAGAAACTGCAGAAGCAGAGAAGGGGCGACGGTGGATGCCTAGTCTCCAGAACGGGGAGATGGCAAGCAGAAACAAGGTATAGGCTCTGGAACATGGCTTCTGTCCACTGAACCCCTCAATACTTCCAGAGCTGGGTTGAGTGCCCTCTTCATGAAGCCTTGGAAAGCTCTTGCTCAAGGCCACCTCAGAGGGCTTAGGAGCTATGTGACACTCCCCCGCTTAACAGGATGATAATGGCGGTTCTGATGGAATACGGCTAGCTCACAAGAATACCCTGCTGCTGAAGACAGACCCAGGACTGCTCGGGGCAGTGGTGAGGCTCTCAGAACCCAGGCCTGAACTCAATGCTCCTATCATTTCCAGAGGCAAACTGCACAAATGGGCCTGGCTTCCCCAGGGCCTAAGGACACTCAAGCCTATGTACAGGATTACTGACAGGGCTTAGGGGAAGAGATGGGAGCCTGGACAGGAGGGAGCCCCACCTTTTTGACAAGGTCCCGGGCATCCGGGGTGAGGTAGGGGGGCAGCACCAGCTTCCCTTTCATGATTTTATCCATAGTTTTCTTTCGGTTCTCTGCGGTGAAGGGCGGCTGGAGGAGGCAGAAGGTGAGAGCAGCCTAGGGGGTCTTCCCACCCAGTCCTGCCCCAGCCTGGAAGGGGGTCTCCCCAACACCCACCCTCCTCCCAAGGAGCTGGACTTGCCGATCCAGTGAGCATGTCGTACATCAGGGCCCCCAGGCTCCACCAGTCCACTGCCCGGTTGTGGCCACTGCGCACTAGAATCTCTGGGGCCCTGGGAGGCAGGTGAACTGTCAGTAAGGGCAAGCCCTCTCTGGTTATTCTCTCAGACCCAGGGCCAGTCAGGTGCCACTTACATGTACTCGATGGTGCCACAGAAGGTGTGTGTGATGGCACCATCATGAATGGACTCTTTGCAGAGTCCAAAGTCTGTCAATTTGATGTGGCCTGAGAAAGAACATTAAAAGGGATAACATGGGGTGAAATATGGCCCAGGCCTATGGGTGGGTTCCTCAGCCCTGCCTTGCAGACCACCAAGACGGGGTGTGAGCATGCGCCTGCAACAAGCTCACCCTGGCTGTTGAGCATGATGTTCTCCGGCTTGAGATCCCGGTAGATGATACCTTGGGAATGGAGATGGCCCAGGGCCAGTGTGATCTCAGCCAGGTAGAAGCTGCAGAGACAGGACAAGGTGAAGGCAGGGCAAAGGTGGAGAGAGGCAAGGACAAGCACCCCCCCCCCGAGACCCACCAGGCTGTGTCTTCCAGGAAGATGCCTTCTCGCTCAAGATGTGTGAAGAGTTCACCACCTGTGACGCAAGCACAACAGCGGCTGTGTACTCAGGCCCAGCCCTGCTGCTGCCTGTCAGTTTCTTCTAGAGAAAAATGGGGTGTGTAGATCCCACCCTACCTGCCTCCCAGAGCTGCGGTGGGGACTCAATTCAATCAGCAAACATCTACCGTCGCCTACTCACTCGGTGCCTGGCCCTGTGCTGGGTGAAGCTGGGGCAGAGTTGAGGAGACCCAGCCATTGCCCTCAGGATGCTCAGTCTGATGGGGAGACAGACATGCGCACAGCGCTCTAGGATGCCAGGCACAGGTAACAGCTCTGAGAACTTCACCACGGAAGCTAATCTCAACACAAAGATGGAGAAAGGGCAGCGCAGGCGTGGCTTTCGGGGTGTCGATATAGTGAAGAAGGATGCCGAGCATGCATAGAAGCTCATGGGGCTCAGCTGGTACTAGAGAAGCAGGTAGAAAGAGTGGGCCTCGGTCACCCTTGGTAAGCAGTGGTGTGACCGAAAAGGCCAAGGCTTTGTTTGGGTAGATGCGTGCTCTAGGAAGATGGCCTTTGCAATTAGTGGAGGATATACAAGAACCCAAGTGGGCTAGACCCTCAAAGCCAGTTTAGAAACAGACTTGCTGGGTATGGTGGCACATGCCTTAATCCAAGACAGGGACAAGGAGTATCTTTGAGTTCTTTGTGGTAAGTTCCAGGTCAGTCAATGCTATACAATGAGACCGTGTCTCAAAAGGTCAAAACAAGTAGGTGTAGTGGCACACGCCTTAAGCCCAGCGCTCAGTATGTAGACACAACACAGTCAGATCTCCTGAGTTTGAGGATCTGAATTCAAGATGGATCTCCTGAGTTCAGGGCCAGCAAGGTCTACATAGTAAGTTCCAGGCAAGCCAAGGCTACACATAAGCAGACCTTGTCTCAAAACAAAAACAAAACCTTATAGAAACAGTAACTATCCATGAGACTTCCAAGATGAAGGATGCAGCTATATGGGGACCTGGCACATGGGGGACAGGCAGGAAAGGTAGCAAAACTGGATGGAATTCCCTCCGGACATCTAGACAAACTCCCACCAGACCCACACACCCCACAAACACTAGGCACTGGATGGATGTTTGCTGAATGAATGAACAAATGGAGGACAGACAGATGGACATATGGCCAGGCATGGTGTTAGAGCCTCCCAGCCATCCTCCACCACACGTCTCTCAGGATTCCCTAAGTCTTCAAGCTCCCCATGCTCGTCCCCTGCTCCCCACTACTCAGCCTTGCCCACACACCTACCACTGAGGCACTCCAGGATGAGGTAGAGTTTGCCACCTGTCTGGAAAGCATAGGCCAGCTCCACAATGAAGGGATGCTTCACAGATTCTAGAATGTTCCGCTCAGCCCGGGTATGTGCTGTATCTTTGGCATTACGTACAATCTTGGCCTAGAGACACAGGACTGGGTTAGAAGGTGAAGTACCAGAGTGATTTCCTTTTGGCTCTGCTGTTTTACTGTTTTGTAGAACGTTCAACCCCAGTATTCAACCATGTTGGTGTTCTAGTAAGTACAAGGAAAGTCAGGTTTCAAATATATATTAAAATACAACTTGGGGCCGGGTGGTGGTGATGCACACCTTTAATCCCAGCACTCGGAAGGCAGAGGCAGGCGGATCTCTGTGAGTTCGAGGCCAGCCTGGTCTACAAGAGCTAGTTCCAGGACAGGCTCCAAAACCACAGAAAAACCCTGAGTCAAAAAAAAAAAAAAAAAATACAACTTGGTTATATAAGCGTCTAGACTCTAGGTCTGTGTAGACATGGACATGCAGTGATGTCATGATCATCTAGATCATCAGGACAAGATGACTAGAGGACTGGGAACAAGGCTCAGATGTTAAAAGTACATGCTATGTAATCATGGAGATCTGAGTTCAAATCCCCAAGTATCCACAAAAAAAACTCAATGGCGGAGGGGGGGGCTGGAGAGATGGCTCAGAGGTTAAGAGCACTGATTGCTCTTCCAGAGGACCCGGGTTCAATTCCCAGCACCCACATGGCAGCTCACAACTGTCTGAAGATCTGGTTCCAGGGAAAACTGACACCTTCACACCAATGCACATAAGATAAAGTTAAATAAACGATAAAAAAAATGTTAAAAAAAAAAGTCAAGGGTGAAGCTGGGTGAAGCCTGGCGGCAGGCGGACCTCTGTGAATTCAAGGCCAGCCTGATCTACAAGAGCTAGTTCCAGGCTCTAAAACTACAGAGGAACCCTGTCTCGAGAGAAAAAAAAAAAAAAAAAAAAAAGCCAAGGATGGCTGTGTGTGCCTGTAACCTCAGCACTGTGGGAGGTGAGACAGACGGATCACTGGGGCTTGCTGGCCACAGGCCCAGCTCCAGGTCACATGAGAACAAGAAAGTGATAGAGCAGGGGATCCTATGTTCCCCTCTGGCCTCTATCATGTAGAAATCATACATTAGTTTAAGATGATTAGGATTTGCGAAAGATCGTTAGTCAGTTGCAGTTAAAGGCTGCCCCACTACCACACCTGTCTTCTTGCTTCTCAGCCACAGCCCTTCTGCTATCTTTTTTTTTTTTTTTCCCCTCCGAGATAGGGTTTCTCTGTAGCTTTGGAACCTGTCCTGGAGCTCGCTCTATCGACCAGGCTGGCCTCGAACCACTGCCCGGGCCTTCTGCCATGTTTTGCCACTCAAATTTCTGTGTAATTCTACTGCTATGAGTAGTAAACCTTTTCAAGAACTGGTTTATCCTCTCAGTTTCTCAACCTTGACACTCTGTTTGTTGTTCAAGACAAGGTATCATTATGTAGCCCAGGCTGTCCTAGACCAACTCAGAGCCTCCTCCTGCTTCATCCCTTGAAGTCCTGAGACTACAGGGTGTATCCTACCAAATTCAGCTGAACTACTGACACACTGAGCCAGACAAGTCTTTGTTGTGGGTTCCTATTTATCTGCCTCTCTACCTTCTAGTCACTGAATGTCAACTGCACTTCCCCTACTAGTCCTGGCCATCAAAACTTGCCAGTGTGCCCCAGCAGGCAGGTTGCTCCCATTCAAGAATGACTGAAAATCAGTATGTGAAACAGCTACTAAGCCAGCAAGTGACAAGATAGACTTTGTCTTCATCATGTTCACAGCTGTCCTCCCAAAGCCTGGAACAGGTTGTGGGGTGGTAGCGACTCAGCTTTTGCTGGCTGGGCAAATGGCTCACCTTTCTCAAGACTTTCATGGCGTATATTTTCCCCAAGTTGGTGCCTTGCACTTTTCTCACCTGGAACACCTGTAGGACAGGGGAGACAGGATCAACCTTCCTCACACGTCCTATTTTCAAGGAGCCCCACCCTAAAGCTCTAGGACTGGGACCAAAAGCACTAAACTCAGCTCAAGGGTGGAGCACTTAAGATCTCTATCAGATTTAGAGGACCTGCCCTTCCCTCCCTCAGGTTTCCAGCTCTAAATCCCATCCCTTCAGAGGCCCCACACAGAAGCCTATTGGGTGTGAAGGATGGTCTGCTGCCCCAGGCTAGAGCTGAGTTCACCATGAGGGGAAGGGGTGCGTACCTTCCCATAGCCCCCCTTGCCCAGCACACTCAGAAGCTCAAAGCAATGGGGCCCGATGCGTTCAGGGCCCAGGTTCACGCTGCTCTCTGTCAGCTCCACTTCTTCATAGTGTCCCACCGTCCTAAAGACACAAAGTTAATGAGAGCAAGGCTCGGGTGTACCCCAAGTCCCATCCCCTACTCCGAGCCCCCGGCCCCCAGAAAGACCCTCACTCACTCCAGGCCAGCAGCCCTCAACTCGCCAACGGGACACACCTCCTGTGAGAAAGCGAGGGGTAAGAGCCATGGGGATGCAAGAACATCTCCCAATCCAGGGGGAACTGCTTGACCCAGGGGAAAGGACCAAGAATGGGAGACAGGAATGGGGAAAGGGTAGGGAAGAGCGACCAAGGGCAGAAAGGGAAGACTGGGTCAAGGGGCTGGGGCTGGATCTGGGAAGGATGGGGCAGTCACAGTAGGGAGTGCCGTGCCTTTGGTTAACCGGCTGGACTCCCGGGTCCAGTCGTGCCCGGCGGGAAACACTCACCGCAGGGCTGAACTCCGGCTCGCCCTCGCCCTCGCTGCCTTCCTCGGTTTCCAAGTCTAGGTCGAACACGGCGGCCATGGCTCCGCCGGCCCCGCCGGCCCCGCCGGCCCCTTGGCCCGGACCAGGTGGAGTTCTGACTGACAGCCCCAGGCTTGGGCGCTGCGTTATCTCTCCGCGACGGCAGCCGCGCGCGCTGATGACGCAAGGTAGCTTCGCCCACTCTCTCGCAAGCCCTTTAGCCAGGCGGGGAGGGAAGATGGTGGCTGTCGCAAAGTCTCTCGGGAGTTGTAGTTCCCGAGAACTGGACATGCCATCCTGCAGCCTTCTGAACAGGCTTTACTAGACTGTCTCTTCCTAATCCTGCCCTCCCGGGTCCGCACCCGACGCAAACAACGCAGAGCCTCTGGGGCAAGTTCGAGATTGAATGGGCAGAATCACAGGCGCATGCAGGTTTGAGTTAAAATGGCAAATCGTCAGCTGTTCTTGGAGCTGAGTTGCCAGGCAAGTAGTGACTGCCAGGAACCAGTTGACTGTATTAGGGACACTCCCCACAATCTCCCTAAAGCTCACAGACCCTGCAGGTCTGACATTTGCTGGGTGACTGCCTGGGCTTTGTTACCAGGCTCCCGTTCTGAAGGACTCAGCAGACCAAAATAAATATGGCCTTTTATGAACTTAAGCATAGTAAGTGTTCCTGCTTCCTGGTTCAGAATAGGTACTTAAATAGAATGTGTTTGAAAGGCCAGGCGGTGGTGGCCTTTAATCCCAGCACTCGGGAGGAAGAGGCAGGCGAATCTCTGATCTACGGAGTGAGTTCCAGGACAGACAGTCTACACAGTGCAACCCTGTCTCAAAAACCCAAACCAAACCAAACCAAAGCAAAAGAATATGGTTGAAAAGATGAAGGAGAGCTGGTGAGATGGTTGGGCTGGGGGGGATGGGAGGGTGGGGAGGTTGGAGGGTAGCGGGGTGAGGGGGTGGGGTGGGGTAAAATCACTTGTCACACACGCCTAACTACTTGGGTTCTATTTCAGACCACATCTGTGATTTTGGATATGAGTCTGTCTGGATGGACTGTCCCACTGCACAGGGGAGGCCCCTTGTGATGCAGGGTGTGAACTCAGATGTACAGAACTTATGGTGTCCAGGCCAGCAGAGTGTTTACTATCTGGATGTGACATAGGACTGTAGTTCAAGCAAAAGAAAACCTCAAATTTAGGCCTAGATGTTAAGTATAAGGGAGGCCCCTGCCAAAGGTCAGCCCAGGGGCTCAGACAACGGGGTGTTTTTCCTACCTCTCCCTCCCTCTCCCCAGCTCCACACCTATTGAACCTGGGTGGGGCACTGTTGGAAACAAACCTAGCCCAGAAACTTCACTAGTTGACAAGTCTTTATTGGGTAGGCATGACTCGGGAGCTGTCCACAGTTCCCGTGCTGGGCAGAAGCAGGCGCTTTCAGAGTAGCTTCCCAGAATGCAGAAGGTGGTGCAGACAGAAGTCCTGGAGCCAGGCTACTTAGGTACCCAGAGGGCAAAGCAGCGGAGCTGGCAGAGAACGTGTGGGGTTCATCAGAGGAAGGTGTCAGGAGCCCGAGTGCTGCTTCTGAGTGGGTAGGACCTGGAAGCTGAATGAGTGTGTAAAATAGTAAACAGGCCAGGGTGGTGGTGCTACACGCCTTTAATCCCAGCACTCAGGGGCAGAGACTGGCAGATATCTGTGAGTTCAAGGCCAGCTCCAGGACAGGCGCCAAAGCTACCGGAGCAAGACTGTCTCAAAAGCAAAACAAAACCCAAAAAGCAAAACAGTAAACAGAAAAGGCTGGTCTGTGCATCCTGTGTACATCCGCTGAGGTAGGACCTTGGAGGCAGAGTCGACTCTCTGAGTCGGCTTCCTCATCCGTGACACGGGGACAGCAGGCTTTACAACTATCCTAGACTTTAGACAGGAACGCTAATCTCAAGTTTCGTGGGCTTTGACCATGGACAGAGATCCACGTAGGTTCCCTCCTCCTATAGGTGACATGAAGAGACAGACCTGAAGGGGTGGTGGGGAGGACCTGGGTTTGGACCCACTGCCATCTGGGCTGGGCACGACAGTGTGGACATGAAGCTGCTGTTTGTTAGCTACTTAAAGGCTAGAGTGTCCCAGGCTTTATCTTTTAGGCCACCAGTTAGCTCTCATTTTATGACACAGAGAATTCTTATTAGTTATGAAAGCTTGGCCATAGTTTAGGCTTCTTTCTTGTTAGCTCTTATAACCTGTTTCTCTTCTGTTTTGCCTCAGGGATTTTTAGCTTTTTACCTTTCTTTCTCTCTCTTTCTTTCTTTCTTTCTTTCTTTCTTTCTTTCTTTCTTTCTTTCTTTCTTTCTTTCTCTGCTTCTTGTGTCTGGCTGGCTGGCAGTTGCCTGGCTTCTGGCCCCAGGTGTGTCCCTCTCTTTCTCCCTCATTCTCTCCCTCGTCTTCTCTCTCAAGCTTAGAAGTTTCCTTGTACTTATTCTGTCTGCCCACCAGCCCTGCATACCCCTCTCCTGCCTAAGTATTGGCCATTCAGCTTTCTATTAGACCAATCAAGGCAGACAAGGCAAAATAACAACACATCTTTACATAATTAAACAAATGCAACATAAACAAATGTAACACATCTTTACACCATTAACAAAGGCAGCAGAAACAAATGTAACTCACTTTTACATAGTTAAAGTAATATTCCACAGCATAAACGAATGTAACACATCTTCGCCTAGCTAAAATAATATTCCACAACACTAGAGTTCTGGGGATACCTAGGACTAGATGGAGGCTTTGGGGAAGTCAAGAAGATCCAGAAACGTCCAGATACTTGTTTTATGGTCCTTGAGTCCAGAAGACTATGATGTCAAAATGGCTCTACTGCTCTGGAATAGACCTGAGGCAGAGGAGTATGCTGAACTAGGTTTGGGCAAGGTTTGGAAGGAGGGGCAGGGAAACAGAGCATCACAACCCCTCCCCCTAGCACTTCATCCCTGCTATTTGAAATGAGACAGAAAATGGGCAACTGGGTAGTTGGGTCTGTCAATGCCCAAGCCCTGACAGATGCCCAGCAGGCGGAGACGGGCCTCAGCAGGGCTGGACCCAGCACAGGCCACATTGCAGTAAGGCTCCTCATACTGGCCAGGTATCAGGGCCTCCTCCAGCAGGTTGAGTCGCAATAGACCCTGGTCATGGAGGGCTTGCAGAGTCTCTCGACTGCTAGGGGAACTCAGCATCTCGATGTGCTGGGACACCAGGCACATGATGCCCACCAGGTAGCCACGGGCACGAGGGTGGGCAGGCAGGGCCGGCTGCAGGCCACAGGCCACCATGGCAGAAGCCAGCAGCAAATCCACACCATAGATCTCCAGGATCCAGTCTCGAAGGTAGAACCCTCCCATGCGTGGGTTGATCTCGATGAGCTTTGGCCCGGCCCCAGTCATCTTGAGCTCCACATTGAAAACTCCATCTAGCAGCCCACAGCCCAGGCAGCAGCGAAAAGCTGCCTGTACCAGCTGGGCCTCCTGCTCTGGTGCTAGCCCAGTGGGCATGCAGGCTGCAGTCTCCGTGAAGCCAGGCAGCCTTGTGGGCCCATTATCAGAGACAAAAGCAGCCAGCAGCCGTCCACCAAACACCACCAGGTCCACATCGTGTTCTGTACCCTCGACAAATTCCATCAGCAGCATGGCATTGCCCCAGCCCAGCCCGATGCCTGGGTGGTCAGCTTCACCCTGCAAGTCATGGAGGATCCGGGAAAAGTGCTCGTGGCACTGGGGCCCATCCTTCACCAGCTGCACACCCACTGCTCCTGAGCCAAACTCCAGTTTCATCACACCTGGCAGGGGTACCTGGTCGATGGCTCTCTCCACATCAGCCTCACTCTCCAATGGGCAGCAGGCCACCGCATGGAGGGAGGTCGCAGGCCAGGGTGGGCCTGGGCATCGCAATAGGTGTAGCTGGGTACGGCTCTTCTGCTTTGCCAGACACATGGCAGCTGGGGGGCTGCAGGGCAGACCCAGCTCACGGCAGAGCAGAGCGGTGAGCACCAAGCAGTCGTCCCAGAAGGAGAAGCAGCCATCTAGCTTCAGGTTGCGTGCCCGTACCAGCTCAGCCAGCTGCTGTGCGTTCTCCTCATCTCTCCGGTGCTCCGTCACATCGAAGTGGATGAAGGTCTGCACCAGCTGGGAGGCAAAGTGGTTAGGGTCCGATTCCACCAGGTGCAGCTGCAGAAACAGAAGCGAGCAGGAGGGACCTCCGTGTCAGCAGGTGTTGGGTCATGGAGGAGACAGGATGGTGTCCCACAGGGGAGGCTGAATCATAAACACCAGGAGCTCGGAATATGTTTATTGATGACGTGTTGAATAAATGGGAAGTGCAGAGGTGGGACACCTGCTTCAGACTGGAGGGGCAGGAAGTCAGAAGGAAAAACTTCGGGAGGAAAGAGCAGTCTGGGCTTAAGGGGCCAGGAGCAAGGAGAGAACACCAGAGGGCTCACTAGGACACGCTCACAAGCAGCTCCCCCCTCCCCCGCCCTCCCCACACCTGCCGCAGGGCTTGGAGACCAGCCATCAGGGCTGAGGCTGGAGACAGGTGGCTTGGTTATCACTCATTTTGCATGTTCTAACACTGTAATGTGATGTGCAGGACTCCTGAGGGGCCGTGTCTCCAAAGCTTGTGGTTTGCTGGGGGAAACACAGACACAAGGCAGCTGATACTCAGAGCAGAAGCAGCCACTGATGAGGGGAAGGGGCTGTTTGCAAGGTAACTTGGCATCAGGAGTCTTTCAGTACTTCAACTGGCATACACACTATCAGGTAGGAACTGTGATGACAAGGCTGTTTGGGAATTCCTCAAGGACCATGCATGGTGGGAAAAAAGGCGAGGAGGCCACTGTGGTGGACTAGGGCCAGCCTGAAAGAGCCTCAGCTTTCCTGTTTCAATAGGAATGAGGATGTCTGTTGCCTGGTTAACTCCATATCCTACAATGTGAGTCCCTGCTCCTCCCAACAGTAGAGTTGACTTGAGATCTGCAAACTACTCTTTCGCCCCCCACAGGACACTATGGGCCAAGCTGCAGGAATTCCACTCCAAAGACCTTTTCCCCAAGGCAGAGCTAGACTCCTTACCCAGTTGTTCCAGACCTAGGAGCTACAAGGTTTGGCAGTACACACTTGTAATTCCAGCATTCAGGAAGCTGAAGCAGGAGGATTGTGTTTTGAGAGCCAAGTCTACACAGTGAAACCCTGGCTAAAAAAGAAAGCATGGAGGGGCAACTCCAGAGAGTAATCCCAGCCCTTAGGAGACAGAGGAAAGAGACTCTCCGAAAGTTCAAGGCCAGCCTGATTTTCCTATTAAGTTTCAAGCCACCCGGGGCTGCAGAGTTAGACCCTGTCTGACATAAATAATCACTGAATAAACAAAAATAAAATAACATGTCTGAAATCCCAGAATCTGGAGATGGAAGTAGGAAGACCAATTCAAAGGCAGCTGCAGCTATATGAGGAAGCTGAGACCACCAAGAGCTATGTAAGAACCTGTCTCAAAGATCCCAAACTACTGAGGGCTGGAGAAATGGCTTAGCCACTAAGAGCGCTTGCTGTTTTGCAGAAGACCAGAATTCAGCACCCACATTAGGTGACCTGGATCCGATGACACCCTTCTCTGGACTCCACCGACACCGGCACACACTTGTGCACACACATACATCAGGCCCCCACACATACAACATACATTTGAAAAAGTAAAATAAATCAGGGCTGGAGGGATGGCTCAGCAGTGAAGAGCACTAGCTGTGCTTCCATAGACCAGATTTGATTCTCAACATCCACACGGCAGCTAACAATTGTCTGTAACTCCGGTTCACTCGGGTTCTAGGGGATCGATGCTCTTTTCTGGCCTCGGTGAGCACCAAGCACCACTTTGGTGCACAGACATGCACGCAGGCAAAACACCCATATACATAAAATAAAAGAAAATAAAATAAGAAATGAAAACTGGGGCTCTAGTTCAGTGACACAGTGCTTGCTCGCACAGAATACACAACACCCTAAACTCAATCCCTAAAACAGCAAGGGAAAACAAAAACAAAACAATTAACAAGGTGGTGCACTTGTTAGTGTACCAGCACTAGGGTGGAAGAGGCAGGAGGATCTCTGGGAGTCTGATGCTTGATTACATAACGAATCCCAGACCTCTGCCTTCCAAGTGCTGGGATTAAAGGCGTGCGCCACCACAGCCCGGCAGACCCTTTTCAAAAATAAAGAAAATAGAGATCTGAGCTCTGAGGCTGACCTGGAGTACCACCTGCTTCTGGCACATTCCAGCCAGTCTAACTCTCTTCCTTCTTTGCCTTTTGAGGGACCTTTCACAGCAACCGGTCCCGCCCCGGCGAGGAGGCCCCGCCCCCACCTTCACCAATCAGACCGCGACCGGCCCCGCCCACCTTCAGTCCGTAGTCGCGCGCCGCTTCCCACACGAACTTCTTGCTGACGCCGCCGGCGCCGATCACCAGCAGTTGCTTTCCTTCCATCAGGTGGCGCCCCGAGCGCCGCACCATGGTCTCCACCAGCGGTGCTGCCGCCGCCTCCTTCACCGAGCGTCCCAGGCGCGGCGCGGCCCACAGCCCCTCTAGCGCGCCGCAGGCCTCCAGGCACAGGCCACTGTTCAGCTTAAGGACCGCGGGGGTCAGCGTGCGGCCGGCCACTGTGAGAACGAAGTCCACGCCTGGGCCGGGCGAGGATGCGCGGACTGAGCATCCCCTTCCCCCCCAACCCGGTCCCCACGCCACCCAGACCGAGCCGCGCCTCCAGTTCTCACCGAGGAAGTCGATGTGCACTTGGCGCCCACCGCGCTGCTCAACACTCAATCCGGCCTCCAGGGCCAGCACTGCGGCCAGCGCGGCTTCTGCTGCTTCTTTGATGCGCTGCCCCAGGAGCGCCACCTGCGCCGCCTCTTCCAGGCCGCACTGGGCCAGCGCCACCTCCAGTGTTCTCGGCAGGGTATTGTGATGCCGCACGAGCTGGTCCCCACGGCCCACACCGCACACCACCTGACCACAGTGCAGCTCAGAAGGGGCTGGCCAAGACTCACCTTTTAAGTACCCCTTTCACCCTTGAGCATCTTCCCTGCACCAAAATACAGGCCCCACCTTCTCTGCACTTCAAGAACTCCTTTCTTCCATCAAGACTTAAACTGTATAAATCACTCTTGGCTTCACACTGGCCATCTGGTCCCCAGATCCTTCGGGGTTATGCTGGCTTCCAGGCCCAGCTCGAAGATTCCAAGCATGCTTGCTCCTACCTGCTATGGCACTCTGGTTTTTCCTAGTCTTAGGGAGGGTCTTGAAGACCCTTCTCATCTCCCCTGGAGTTCTGCTGAGTACCCAGGCCCCCCCAGTTTGGAGCCCTTCCTGTGGGACTGACCCTAAATAGGTTTCTTCTGTAAGGAGGAACATACTGGAAAAGGAATCAGGCCCCTGGGTCCTGAATGGGGGTTGAGCACAGGAGCCGCGGGCTCCTGATAAAGAAGGGATCAGGAGAGTTGAACAGGAAGAAGTGTCAACCTCGGGAGTCCCCTCCCCCACAAAGATCATGTCCTCTCTGCACCAGGCCCTCATTAGATCAGTGGGATTGGACAGAGCTGGGGAGGACAGGGCCACGTCCTATGCAATTCTCACCTTGCTCAGTAGGGGCCTATCACCCTGAATCCGACACACCACTGCGCAAATGCGCACAGCCAGCTCGGGGCCAGGTGCGGGACTGCCTGAGGGAACAGGGAGAAGTTAACCGGGAGACGGGGTCTAGGAGGCCAATCTCTGCTCCCAGTTCCCGGCTAGCACAGGCGAGAACCTGGCAAGGGCAGGCGGGCAGGTGGGCACATGGCCTCCACAAGGACACTCTCCTCCTCCTCCAGCTTCTCCAGCAATGCCAGCACCGTGTTCACCACTGCAGACGGCTCCACCCGCAGGTGCAGGCTCAATGCTTGCTGTCCCCGCCAGCGCCAGCCGCTAAGCCTCACAGCCACCTGCAGCAGAAAAGGGAGGACCCTCCTCACCACCACCTCATGGGCCTGAAATGTAGGGTGCTCATGCCACTATTCAGTATGCAAACTGAGGCACAGGGCACTGCTGTGGAGAAATGGGACAGTGGCAGAGCTGAGGGTTTGGGATTGTTTCCCAGTAGGACTTGGTAATTGTCACATGGGTTCCCTCCTCTGGGTACCCACAAAGACCTCAGTGCAGAGAGGGACCTCCTATTACCTGTGATGCTTCACCCAAGGCCTCGGAGTGCACAAAGGCCTCTATTTCCTCTTTCACCAGTGTTTCCTGGCCCTCCTTCCCACTCAGCTCCACCAGCCGTAGTCCAGGGCTGGCATCCCCTCCCCGAAGCAGCCCTGGAGGCCTATAAGTGAAAGCCAGGGTAGCTGGCACCGCCACACCAGTCTGCTGGGACAGCAACCACCTCGTCAACAGCCGGTCCTCCAGCAGTCGTGCCAGCTCCGCTGAGGCTCCTGTGGGGCAAGTGAGGTTCCGAGCCAGCTCTGCCGCCTCCCTGCCATGGCCAGATTCTGGCCCCAGGCCTGCCAGGAAGTAGGTGGCATGCCGAGGGGGAACAAAATCATCCAGGAATGTCAGGCCCCCTGGATAGAAGCTCACGGCCTTGGAGACCAGCAGGGACGCCTCACCCTCTTGGCCTGGAGCTGCCACCTTCATCAGCCATGCAGGGGACAGGCAAAGGAGCATGTTTCCTGTGGGCAAAGGGAAGAAAGTGCTGGCCAGGGAATGCTAAACGGTGCCAACACCCTCCATCTCCTGCCCAGGCTTCAGTGTCATGGGGGTCAGTGACTCCCAGAACCCACCCCTGCTCAGAGCAGCTGGTCCTGTGGAATGCAGGCAATTGCCAAGGTTGGTGGGTATTTTGGGATATGGCCGGGCTAGGGCGGGGCTGCCCTTTCTGTAGGAGAGAGTAGGGACCTTGGGCACATACTCACCAGGGCTCTGGACCCCACCCTCCAGCAACAGAGACAGAAAGGTGCTGGGGGAACCCAGAATGCACAAGGTCACCTCTGCTCCAGGGCGGCCTGAGGGAAGAGAATATCGCCATGTCCACCAGGAGTCCTCCTCTTGGCTGCCCTTCTGCCCATTTTCTGTGACCTCCCCATTCCCACCCTCTCAGAGGACAGAGGGAGCGCAGCATGAAGTGGGAGGGATCTGCCATCCTGCCTTGAGACTGACTGTTTTATCTGCATCTGATCCAGAAGACTCATCCTCCAGAGTCTAACCTGAGTTTGGATTTTGCATGTGACCTCAGAAGGGTCACTGTTTCTCTAAGCCACAGTTTTCCAGTCTGTATGATGGGAACAAGTTTGTGTTCTAGCTGCAGATCATTTGGTCCACACAAAATTATTCATGACCCACCTGATCTATGAAACAAGGAGGCATCTTGGGATCGCAACTGCTCAGCTGCCTCCATAGCATCTCCTAAGACATCATTCTAGACGTTTCCGCTCCACAGAATATGCAAATGGTACCGTGGAATTCCAGGGAGCAGGGTGGGGTAGGGTGGGACGTGGTGGGGAGCCCTGACCGGATGTCCTTGGAGACAATACCTGCCTGCCTTAGGCCCTCTGATTTTGCCTTTAGACAGAACCAGAGCCTGGGGGAGACAGCCTGAACAGACAGGGAAGCAACTGGACTGAAGGTCCCTCCCTGTCTCTGGGAGACCCCCTTGTGGAGCCCGGAGGCACCTGTACGAGGTGCCTGGCTGCGGTCCTGGGTCTCAGGAAGGCCAGCTTGCTGCAGACAGCTCTGAAGGAGACCATAGTAGTACACAGTCCAGGCCCGAGCCTCAGCCTCTTCTGGGGACCCCTTGCAGTCCAGGCTAACATCCTGGCGCCAGGGCCCAGGGAAGCAGCCTGTGGGTGGCAGGGGAGCGCCTCCTTTCCATGGTCCTTCCTTTCCATCCAGGTCCTTGGAGCCCAGGGGACAGTCCCACTCCGTACTCAGTGGATCCTGGCAGAGCTGAGTGGGGGCAGAAACGGTACATCTTGGGCAGGATTGGCAAGGGAGCACTTGAAGTCACTTAATAGTATAAACCTGCCTCCCAGTCTTCCTACCTGGCTCCCTTTCAAAGGACCAGAAGAGGGTGGGGGGAAGGCGTACAAGGCTAGACGTGGGGTCCTGAGGCGAGTCCCCTGATGGGACTGCCGAGCCCCACCCACACTAACTGGCTTTCCAGGGGCCCAGGGTTTGTTCTTTGCGTCACTGCCGTCCTAGTTCCACACAGTGCGGACACACAGTAACTGCTCCTCAGGTGGTTACTCACTAAATACCTAACCATTGTCCAGCTCTGGTCTCTCTGGGCCTCAGTGACTCATCTACTATCATGGACCTTGCTGTCACCTATTACCCATTAGGTGTATTTATTTTCTATTCACCACCCCTATGCAGGGCCTCTGGGTGAGGACTGGAATCCTTTTCTTTTTCTTTCTTTCTTTCTTTTTTTTTTTTTTTTTTTTTGAGACAAGGTGTCACATAGTTCAGGCTGGCCTCAAGCTTGTGTGGAGCACGGCCTTGAACTTCTGATGTTCTGTCTCTCCTTCCAAGTACTGAGATTACAGGCATGCGCCACCATGGCAGGTTTACACGCGAGTGTTGGGGCTGGAACCCTGCCTCCTGTAAACTGAGCCAGCCCTCTGCCAACTGCCTTCAACCTCAGTCCCTCCATTCAATCCTTGTTCTTTTTCATTTTTCCTTTTCTTTTTTTGAGAGGGGGTTTTGCTCTTTCGACAAGGCTGAGCTCTCAAGGCATTCCATTTCCCAAGTGGAGAGATTACAGGTGTACCCCACTACATCTGCTCTCATGGGGAGGGGGGATTAAGCCAGAGCCCACCCACTACAGGCTAGGCCGGCATTCCTCTAAACAAATTATAGCCTCAGCTCTGTTTTGCTTTTGTTGTTTTGCTACGTGGCTCATGCTGGCCTTGAGCTGGCAATCCCACCACACCTGGCTAAACACCTCTATAGGCGTGTGGTGTCCTGGCACTGTCTTCTTTCCAGGAAGTCTGACACCCCGTCCCCTCTCTGAGGCTGGGAGTCTCAGCATGATAGAAATGGGGACATCACTCCTTGCAGTGTCTGGGCCTATACAAGCCTGGAAGCTGGGCCTATCTTTCAGGAGATAGACCGAGCCACCTTGGACAGGTTGTTTCTTTCTCTGGCTTGGTTAGCTCTCACCTGGATGCCTGGTGCATGACTTATTCCCACCCCATTGGTCCAAAGAAATATCTGGCCTGGTGGGGGGGGGGGGGATCATCTATTGGTTCAGAAACTGTAAGCTATGCCTCAGACATCCAAGGTCTGGGTCTCAGACCTTCCATGCATCTCAGGACACCAGGGCTGAATTCTTTGTGTCCTTTCCTAGAAAAGTACTCTGATGTCACAGACTGTAGGTTCATCGCTGTGTCCCCAAACCCAAACCAGTCCTGGGCACACAGGTGGTAGTTAATAGGTGCTATAGGAATGAGGAACTGTCGTTGGGCTGACAGCACCTACCTCCTGGAAATAATGTGGCCCAGGAGTGTGCCATGTGCACTGGGTAGGGGTCAAGGAATGGAGCTGGTTTTGAGGTGGGAGCTGTCAAAAGCAGGACTCTTTGGGTGCCAGTTCTTGCCCTCCCTCTATCCAGGGACTTGGGCCTTTGTGGGAAGGGACCACAAGAGACTCACCATCTTGGAGGTGGAGAGGCTGAGAGACTAAGGGACAGAGAGACAAAGCAGGGATCAGGGCAGCCAGGTCCCTAACAGACCTTTCAGCCCTGAAGACTTTAAGGAACTCAGATACCCTCTGTCCTATCCCTGCCCCACCCCCACCTCAAGGAAAAAAGAGACTCTGCTCCATGGACCCCAAGAGCCATGCACCTCTGAGTCCTCCACCCCCTCCCCCTGTGTTACTCCAGCTATACTGGGTGTTGGCTCAGCCCCTGCACCCAGGGTCCCTGTGAGTATGTAAGGTTAGTGTCCAGCTCTACAGGTTCTACAGGGTCCTCAACCTGCATTCCCACTTATCCCTGCTCCCTGCTTCCCCTGGGGTAGGACAGGAACGGGGTACCTGCTGGTAGCAGCAACTGAGCCAAGCTGGGCAGTCGAGCTAGCGGGTAGGCAGAGTCGGAGGGAGTGCGGCAGTGGTGGCGGCACTATTGCGAGTGGTGTGCCCTTATATAGTGAGCCTGGCCATGCTGGGGCGGGGCAGCCTGCATTCATGCCAGGGCCCCGCCTCCCCCTTTCCCTTGTGGCTCCCCCTCTCTGCACCTCAGGCTTAGGACAAGGGATTTGTGGGCCCGAGGGTGTTGGGATCCGACGACTGACAGAGGTAGTTCACAGGACTGAGGGGTATCCTTGGACACAGCCCTGATCCCAGGCAAAGACTGTCCAGACACAGACAGATCTACAGTGAGATCCACAGGGAGAAGGGAGGAAAGGCCGAGGGTGATCGCGGTGAGGAGAGGCAGTGTGGGGAGGACTGAGTCCAGCCTATCACTGGCACTGACTGCCTGGTGTCGGGCGCAGGCTGAAGCCTATCTTTAGTTGGAGCAGAGCGCCTGGTGCTCCCAGCCAGGCAGCTGTCAATCCTAATCAGGAGCCCCTGACTACCGGGGACACTCTCTCACAGTGCCCCCTGAGTCAGGGTCTCTGCCTATTAGGTAGCATGAAGGCAGCCCAATAAAATGCTGGTGTGAAGCCAGTAATACACTGGTTTCCATGGCAGGGCCACCAGCCAGGAACAGAGCTTCCAGAGGCCCGCACACCTGATCCCTGCACCTGCAGGTACACGCACAGTCTTCCTGAGAACCACACAGTCCTACTCAGAGCTCGTGCCATCTGCTGTGTGTATCATTTACCTGAGCTCTGGGCTCAGGATCTGGACATCTGCCCTTCACTTTCCTTCTGCCTCAGATGGGGCCAGATCCACTGTAGGGTCTAGCCCCATATGGCCTCTACCTTCCCCCAAGCACTCTGATCCCCCCCCCCCTTAGCTTCCCAGAACTGTATTGTTCTCAAGAGCAGCTTTGCAAGGAGAGCATTAAGGAGGCCCAGCACGCCTTGGGGACAGAGGTAGCAGCTTTTGTAGTTTCCCAGTGAGGGCCAACACAGTAGCCTGTGAGGGCCCCCTGTCTACCTCTCAGGAAGGAAGGTGGCTTATCCAGGGCTCCCTAGTCCTGCACGTCAACCGCTGGACTTTTCCTGCTCCAGGTCCACACCCTAATTGTCACCATTCTGATTCCTACAATAAGGGGAGCCACCCCAGGAACCCCACCCACTTCCTTGCTGTATGTATGGCCTGAGCACCAGAGGAGTCCTACTGTGGGGACAAAGTGGAGTACAGATGGGTCATGCAAGCCTCTGGAGACTCAGTTTCTCACTTTCAAATGGGGGTTACTGTGCATTCTTACAGGTCTGGCGGAGTAGGGGTTCTGGATACTAGGTGAGCTTGTGATTCCAGCAAATTCTTTTTTCCTTCCTTTTCTTTCTTTTTTTCCTAATTTATTTACTTTTATTTTATTTGCATGTATGTCTGTGTGAAGGTGTCAGATCTTGGAGTTACAGTTATTAGCTGTCATGTGGGTGCTGGGAATTGAACCCAGGTCCTCTGGGAAAGCAGACAGTGTTCTTAACCACCAAGTCATCTCTTCAGTCCTTCCCCCCTCCCCAAGACAGGGTTTCTCCATGTAGTCCTGGCCATCCTGGAGCTCCCTCTGTAGACCAGGCTGACTTCAAACTCAGAGATCCACCTGCCTCTGCCTCCACAGTGCTGGGTTAAAGGTGTGCTCAACCACCACTGCCCAGCCTGCAAGTGCTTATTGCTATAACAGGCCTGCATGAGAGCATGCAGTAGCTCAGCTCCTAACACTGCGAAAGCTGCTAGGGCTCTGCCAGTACGCATAGGGAAGCGGGAAGCGGGGCTCAGAGAGGTAGTACGGTCAGTCCAAGGTCACACAGCTGGTAAGATGTCAGCTAGCTGGAGTCCTTCCTGTGCTCCACTGTGTGTGTGCTGTTCAGCGAACAGCATGGTGCTGTCCCACCCCCGGCAAGCCTGGAGAGGCGGCAGGCCACTTGTGTTTGTCCAGCAGGTGAAAAAGAAAATTCTGAAATGTCTTAAATGTACCTACAAGTGGTGGAGGGGAGGGGAGGGGAGGTAACAGAAATAAACAGCTAGCAGCTTCTAAACTGTTGAAAGGTTGGGCCACACTCCAGGAGTTGAACCATGAGTTTTTACATGTGCCATTGTTTTTACAATCCAACCACTTAAGAAGCAATATTGCAGCCCAGCAATGGTGGTGCACACCTTTAATCCCAGCAGTCAGAAGGCAGAGGCATGTGGATCTCTGTGAGCTCGAGGCCAGCCTGGTCTACAGGGCAAAGAATGAGTTCCAGGACAGCCAGTACTACACAGAGAAACCCTGTCTGGAAAAGCCTTAAAAAAATAGCAATATTGCTGTAAATCTCAGCACTAGGCAGGAAGGAAAATTGCCTCAAAGTCCAGGCTAACCTTGGCTACTTAGTGAGACACTATCTCAAAAAAAAAAAAAATCCCACCACTAGACAGGAAGGAAAATTGCTGCAAATTTCAGGCTAACCTTGGCTACTTAGTTGGCTTACTAAGTTTACTATCTCAAAAAAATTAAAGTAATTCTAAGTTGGGCCTGCTCTCACAGGCCTTCGTTCCGGATATTGGAAAGTCTGAAGCAGTCAGGTGAAAAGTTCATACCTGGCTGGGCTACAGAGCAAGCACAAGGCCAGCATGGGTCACTTTATAAGACCTTGTCTCAAAATGAAAAATCACAGGGAAGACTGGGGGTGTGACTCAGTAACAACAGGCTTTGCTTGGCACAAGTGAGAATCTGGGCTCAACTCCATTACCTCAAACAAAACAAGACAACTAGGTGGTAGTGGCTCACACCTTTAATTACAGCATTTGGGAAGCAGAGACAGGTAGATCTCTGAGTTTGTGGCCAACCTGGTCTACATAGTGAGTTCCAGGACAGCCGGGGCTACACAGAGAAACCAACTCGAAAACACAACCAAACAATAACAAAACCCAACAAGACAAAGACACGATAACTGGGTGTGGCGATCCCAGCAATCAGGAGGCTGAGGAAATATGGTGTGTTGAAGGCTAGCCTGGGCTACACAGAAAGACCCTGGCTTGAGGGAGGCATGGTAACCCACATCTGTAATCCAAGCATTCCAGAGGCAGGTAGGAGGATTAGGAGGAGTTCAAAATCATTTTAGGTTACTTATGGAGTTTGAGACCAGTCTGGGCAATATGAGATTTTGTTTCGAAACACAAGCAAATAAGGCCCTGTCTCAATAAGAGAGAACCAGCCAGGCATGGTGGCATTCGCCTGTAATCCTAAAGTAGGAGCACCATGTCATTTTGGTTTGCTTTTTTTTTTTTTATTTACATGAAAGGACAATATTTATTTAAACAGCGCTCAAATGGGGTAACCATTGTATCATCAGAGTGCATCCAGAGGAAAAAAAGGGAGGAAGAACCAAATAAGACTCAATCAACTGCACCCCCACACCTTTCCTGTTTGATCTGCACTGCCAGTAACCACATAGGGTGCCGTCTTGTGGGAATCCAAGGAGGTATCAAGTGTTCAGGCGCATTGAGGGTCTTCATGCATCACTTGTTCTTGTAATCCCATACACGGAGAGTTTTGTCAGCAGCACAACTCAAAATAAACTTCCCCCCAGAATGGAACAGAGCTCCACGTACCCAATTATCATGACCCACTTAGTTTTGGTTGGTCCTATCCTGTTCCTGTCCCATCTTTCTTCTAGCCTTTCTCCATTGTGCTCCTTCCTCTGCTTTCAATATTGATTTTGGTTTTTCGAGACTGGGTTTCTCTGTAGCTTTGGAGCCTGTCCTGGAACTCACTCTGTAGACCAGGTTGGCCTCGAACTCACAGAGATCCGCCTGTTTCTGCCTCCTGAGTGTTGGGATTAAAGGTGTGCGCCACTACTGCCTGGCATATCACCATGTTTTGTAGCCAGCTTTGTCTACAGCAAGTTTCAGCCCAACTTAGGCTACCTATCAATAGCCTTTCTAAAAGAGAGAGAGAGAGAGAGAGAGAGAGAGAGAGAGAGAGAGAGAGAGAGAGAGAGAGAGAGAGAAGGAAAATAGCCAAGTATAGTGTACACACCTGTAATCTCAGTACTTGAAAAATGGAGGCAGGAACAGAAGTTAAAAGTTCAAGGCCAGCCTTGGCTACATTAGCAAGTTAAAGGTTAGATGTTGAAGAGATGGCTCAGTGTATGGCTTAGTAGTTAAGAGCACCCACTTTTCTTCCTGAGGGCCCGGGTTCAAATCTCTGCACCTACATAGTAGCTTATAACTGTCTGGAACTCCAGTTCCAGGGAATTCAACATCCTTTTTTCACCTCCTTGGACATCAATCAAGCAATGGTACATATATATACATACAGGTAAAACATTCATATACATAAACAAAAATACCTGATAAGATGATTCAGTGGATAAACACACTTGCTGTCAAGCCTGATAATCTGACTGCAATCCTGGAAGCCATAGACCCAACCCCTGCATACACACACACACTCTTAACATCAAAAATGTGAGCCTAGCCAGGCAGTGTGGCACATGCCTTTAATCCCAGCACTCAGGAGGCAGAGGCAGGCGGATCTCTGTGAGTTCGAGGCTCCAGCCTGATCTACAAAAGCTAGTTCCAGAACAGGCCCCATAGCTACAGAGAAACCCTGTCTAAGAAAAGAAAAAGTGAGCCAGTGCTCCTCCACTAAGCTGTTTGCAGCCCTCTATCTACTTTCTTGTTTTGAGATGCAGTCTCTCTAAGTTACACAGGCTGACCTTGAACTCACTTAGTAGGCTGGGCAAGACTTGAACTTGTGACTCTCCTGCCTCGGTCTCCCATGTAGCTGGGAATACAGGCCTGCCCCACCAAGCCTAGCTTTTTTTTTTTTTTTTTTTTTGGTTTTTTGAGGAGTGGGTNCAAGACAGGGTTTCTCTGTGGTTTTGGAGCCTGTCCTGGAACTAGCTCTTGTAGACCAGGCTGGTCTCGAACTCACAGAGATCCGCCTGCCTCTGCCTCCCAAGTGCTGGGATTAAAGGCGAGCACCACCACTGCCCGGCAGGCCTAGCTTTTTGAGATGTTTAACACAGGCCATCCTGGAGAGTAGGCCAAAGTGGATGTCCAGGGTTGGGGGAGGGGGACTGCTGGTTCATGGGATGCCAAGAGTGGAGGTTGATTTTGGGACTGACATGGTAGTAAGGATTCAGTCAAGTTCACTCTACTTCTAAGCCTCCGCCTCCCTAGGGAAAGCACGGATGAGGCTCTGGCCTTCTGTAACTATTTCCTCCATAGCAGGCTTCATGTGAGGGAGACAGGTCTGCCTGGCCCTGGCAGGTACCACAGAAATGTATATGGGGTGCTTTGCTTTTCTTCCTTTTTTGGGCAGGGGATAAGGGAGGGGCGGTTTAAAAAGGGTCTCACTAGGTAGCCCAAGCTGGCCTTGAACTCCTGATCCTCTTACCTCCACTTCCTAGGTGCTGGGGTTCCAGGTGTGCAACCTCTGGTTTGGCTCCCAGGGTACATTCCTATAGCCCCATCACTAGAACATTCCAGGTTCTGATGGGACCATGCCAGAGTCCCAGCATGGCTGATAGGGAACCTCCCACCCGAACCAGGGACCCACACCTTTACCCCCAAGTGTGTAAAGCAGGGAACCTCCCACCCTAACCAGGGACCCACACCTTTTTATATACCAGTGTGTAAAGCTGGTATGTGGTTTCCTATTTGCACACTTGTTCTTTCTCCAACACTGTATCACAAAGACTGATACCAGGGACTTTGTCACGACCAGGATAGTGCCACCATACCTCCAAGGACACACTGACCTCTAATCCAAATCTTACACTGGAGAAAAACTCAATTAAAGAAACAAAGCAAAGAAACAAACCAACCCACTCCTGAGCCATGGAAGAGTACCAGGTCTTAATCCATTGCCTCATAAGGTCTCTCCCTTTGTGTGGGCTGGGGTGGATTGCTAACACTGTCTGTCCCTCCCTCCTCGAGTGGACATCTCCTTCTTCCCTTCACTCTGCGCAGTCTCATTTCTGTTGCCTCCACCACAGCCATTGGATGGTTTCCCTCAGAAAGGAAGGTCACCAAGCCCTTCTCCCCAACTCCTGCCTGGCTCCCACCTCAGGGTGCTAGGAAGCTACCCAGGGGGCCAGGGCAGCCAGGACTGGGCTCTGTGGAGAAGAGGCAGCATCAGAACCAGCTCTATTGTCTTGACAATGGCTCATGTCCCAGGCACCCTAGGCACCCACAGGAGCAATTACTGAGTGTAGGAGAGGGTTTCCATGGTGGCGGTCCCAAGGGGTACACCAGGCTTAGGGAAGAACAAGGGCTGGCAGGACCTTTCTCCTTTGTCCTGAGCACACTAGGTCTTTGTTCTTGTCTCGCTCTCTTTGACAGATGGGACCAGGAGCATGGCTGGGGAGGTCAACATGGCTTAGAGTCCCCTGCCCAAGAGAGGCCTGAGTCATCTGGGGGAGGTCAAGAGAGGCTGGAGTCCCCCTCTGGGGGCCCAGCTCTCATTGGGGAGCCTTCCTCTGGCTTGTAGAGAAGCCTGACCTGTACCCTGGAGGCTGCCACTCATGGGCTTGCTGCTCGCTCCTTTCCCGTAAACACCTTACCCAGCAACCAATGGATAGCTTTGGCATGTCCCCATATGGGACTATGACAGGAAGTGAGGATGTGGGCGGGGGGGGGGGGGACATGGCAATAAGTCCAGGGTAGAGAGTGGAGGAATATTTGATCCAGCTCTATCCAAGCATCTTCTCAGTCAGGTTTTATTTGAGGTTCCCCAACAAGAAGCCCATGGGGGTACCATATCCCAGCCAGAAGCTTCACCCCTACGCTCCTTCAGTGTTGGCTTTGATGCTGGCAGGCACCAGGTCGCTCCCCACAATCTCCACTTGGTGACCTTCCTTTATCTTTGTGCCTGACACAGTCCTTCAGGTGGGGAGATGCTCCCCTCCTCTAGGTGCTCCCTGCTGGGAACAGAGCAGTCACACAGCTCCAAAGTAAAGTGCAATACACATTTCTGGGACTGGCATGGCTCTTCAGATGATTAAGATATGGTATGCTCAGAAGCGGGTGTCCAGGAAAGAGGTGGAGCCTCGGTGGGACCTGGAGGGACCCTCAATAGGGGGTCCCCGGGCCCTTGTCAGAAGCCCATGGAAAGTCTTGCCACGAGTCTGTGGTTTGCGCCGTGGTGGCCTGGGCTCCTCTGGGGGCTGCACCACTATTCGGGGTATCTCAGGTTTGGTGCTTCCTCGAATCCTTGCCAGTTGCTGGGACTCAAAGATGGCTTGGGCTCCAGGAAGGCGGGCCTGTGGCAGAGGTACTGGCCCAGGAGATGACTTGGGCAGCTGGGCCAACTGGATCTTGATTTCCCGTTGGAGATCTCGCTCAGACAGGGCTACACTGTGCACCTGTGAGGAACAGTTGACGCTGCCTTTGCCTGGACTGGGGTGGCAGGGAGCAGGAAGCCTTGAGGTCCCCATGGGCAGGCAGTACACCACCCCAGGAAGTGGCTGAGGGCTGAGACACAGCTTGGCTGGGACCCGAAGAAAGACAGCTGAGGCCTGGGGTTCTCACATTCTCTGCAGCTCAGAGTGCAGGAGCTGCACAGGCCTCACCTGGGCTGTGTTCCCAGCTGTGCAGCATGGGCAAGGCCACTGAGCCTGACTAGCTGAGAGAGATACCCACCTGGGACATGAAGGCCTCTTCCTGCAGCTGGGTCGGGGGGATGGCTCGAAGGGCCCCCAGTGTCTCCAAGAGCCCCGGGCATGCTGCACGCTGTTCTACAGTGCCCAGTGCCAGACGCATGAGTGTCAGCCCCACACGGAACAGTACCTTGGCACCTGCAGGGAGGGGAGTTAATCACTCCCAAGAAACCAGTCTGCCTGCTCAGTTCTTCAGCTGAGTCAGCCCTCAGACTTGCTCCTCGTACCTCACTCCCCTCAGCTCAGGTCAGGAAAAACAACCAAAGACTGCAATTTGTTAATTTTTGGAGACAGGGTCTCATGTAGCCAGGCCTCGGTCTGCCTATGTAGCTGAGATGACCATGACCTTCATCTGAGTCCCCGTCTCTTCCTTGCTAGATTACAGGCACTCTACACCAAAGTGCCTAGTTTTGTTTTTTTTTTTTTTTTTTTGAGACAGTCTTAATCTGTATCCCTGTCTGGCTGGAATTTAACGCGTAGCCAAGGTTGGCCTTCAATTCACGGTGATCCATTAGCCTCTGCTTTTGAAGGCTCCGATTAGAGGTGTGTGCTACCAAGCTCCATTTGTTTTGTTTGTTTGAGACAGGGTCTCACTGTAGCCCACGCTGGCCTGGAATTCATTATGTAGCCCATGCTGGCCTTGAACTTGCAACAATTCTCCCCTCTGCCTCCTGAATACTGGAATTACAGGTGTGTGTCACCACACCTGGTTATCTATTTAGTATGTGTGTGCATGTGCGTGCGTGCGTGCATACGTGTCCTTGTGTGTATGAACTGTACTGTACTGCCACATCACATGTGTGTGAAGGTCAAATAACCTCTTCTAGAGGTTAAGGGCACACCTTTAATTCCAGCACTGGGGAGGCAGAGGCAGGCGGATCTCTGTGAGTTTGAGGCCAGCCTGGTCTACAGAGTGAGTTCCAGGACAGCAAGGGCTGTTACATAGAGAAAGAAACCTGTCTCAAAAAAAAATAAGTCAATTCTTTTCTTCTACTGTGTGAGACCTGGAGGTCAAACTCAAGTCATCAGACATTACCTGCTGAGCCATCTCATCAGCTCATGCATCTGGCTTTTTGTTTTCTTGAGATAAAACTCACTCTGTAGGCCATGCTGGCCTGGAACTACGTGACCCAGCCTTGCCTTGAATTCAGAGCAATCCTCCTGCCTTGGTCTCTGAGCTGGGATTAGACACGTGGATTATGATGCCTAAGGAAGACTAGAATTTGAGGACACAGGACCTGCAGGGGGTAAGCCAGTCTCAGGACACTAGACACTCACAGGCAGGGCAGCCAGCCAGGAGCCAGGGACTGCTAATAATCTTATGCCGAGCCTTCTCAGAGTCTTGGTATCCTGTCTCCTCAAGGAGCAGTTGGATTGGTGCCTATTAAGGACTTTCCATCTTGAATCTGCCACCTTCTAATTCTAGGAAGGTTCTTGGCAGAACTTCATTTCTTCCTAAACCAAGAACATAAAACTCATAGCACTTGTGCGCATGTGTGCATGCGTGTGTGTGTGTGTGTGTGTGTGCATGCATGCGCACGTGTTCACACACACACACACGCACACAAAGAGAGAAAGAGAGAGAGAGAGAGAGAGAAGAAAGAGAGAGAGAGTAACCTTGACCAGTCCTAGGGCCTCATAATCCCTTTCTGGCATCTTCTGAACCATTAAGAGCAGATAGGATGTCAGGGAGACCTAGAGACAACCGTGATTTAGAAAGGAACAATTGCCGCCGACAATGTCATCAATGCTATTAAAGGGACCTGTGTAGTGCTTGTTCCCAGACAGAGGGGATAGGGATCAGTTGGACCATGATCAGCCCTACCTCTTTGGGATTAGAGGCTAGAGGAGAGGGGATATGTATGCTTTGGGTACCTAGGCCAGGATTTTTGTTCGTTTGTTTTTAAGATTTGGAGAGAGTTTCATGTAACTCAAGTTGGCCTTGAACTCAGTGTGTAAGCAAAGAGGATCTTGAACTTCTGATTCTTTTGCTACTGCCTCCCAAGTGCTGTGATGACAGCCATATGACACCATGCCTAGTTTTACACAATGCTGGGAATTGGGTTAGGGACTTATTGCATACTGGGCAAGCAAGCTATATCACCAGCCCAAACTCGAACCTGACTGTAGGAGCAATCTCTAGACATATGGAGCAGCAGAAAGCAGAGCCCTAAAGACCCATAGTCCAGCTTGGCTCTGCTCTGATGCCCCTTCCACTCTCTTTTCTACCCTTACTTCTCCATGCCCTTCCTCCCAAGAGTCACCTGAGTTGGCTGCGACCTGATCTCCCCGCCTGTGGTGGCCTTCCTGGCCTCTAACCTCCACCTGCATGCCTTCCAGTTTACCGCAGTTGACAGTTCACAGAGAAGCCAGAGCCATCTTTAAAAACAGCCACCACCTCCTGCTGCTCTCCTGACACCCTGTCACATCCCTTGATTTATTTTTTTCATGGCACTTATGACATTCTATAAATATCTTCTTAATTCGGGTACTGTCACCTCCTAGCCCCACCCCCACCAGAATGAAAGTTTCACAAGTTAGCTGTCAGCGTCAGCTTGCAGGGCCACTCAGGAAGAGCCATGCCACAAGGCCCTGAGGAGCATCTCCTACCGCTGTGGACCACGCCTCAGGCCTGCACATCCTGAGCCTCTGACATCCCACGTGTGTCTCAGCCAGCCTGGCTGCTGCCAACAGACCCCTGGCCCCCATCCCCATTCTTGCACTCAGCCGCCCACTGTGGTCCTTGGGACAAAGCAGAGGCTCTCGCACGTTACTCTGGGATTGAGTCAATGAGGTGGACACACTCAGGTCCATGTGACGCAAGGCTCCAAAAGGGCCCAGCAAATTCAGAAAAGTGAGCTAGCCCCCCAAGGCCCCACTCACCCTCGCTAAGGAAGGCATCCCAGATGCGCAGCACTGTGGGGAAGGGCAGCGAGCGGGTGAAGAGGCACAGGAACCACTCGGGCAGGTAGAGCAGTGGCCCGACGCCTACCTGCTGCAGATGCTGGTACACACGTGGGAGCAGCCGCCGCAGAAGAGCCATGAACACCTCAGCATCCAGCTGCACTGCCTCCTACAGCCAGGCTCCTCATCAGTCTGGCTTGTCAGTGCTGCAAACCTCCACTCCCCAAACCCAGGCTTCTGATCCCTCACTCCCCCCAGCCCTCACTTCCCATTTTCATATCCCTACCCAGCCTCTCACCATGTGGGGCCCATAGTAGCCAGGGAGGTAGACCTCGCAGATCTGCACCAAGCACCAGAAGGCTTCCTGGGGGCAGGGTGCATGCCTGTGAGCCCTCATGAAGGGAGGGTTCAGAGTGGGGGAAGAGGTAGGGAACAGGCACAGGGGCATGGACTCAGGCCACTCCCACCCCACTCAGAGCCTGCCCTGTCTTGGGGTTGAGGGGTTGGAAATCACAGAGCCTGAGGTTCTGTATTTGGGGGCCATAAGGCCCTCTGGGGAAAAGTTGGGAAGCTTTCAGAGTTTATATCCCAGAATCCTAAGGTCACTGGCATCCCACCCTGGGCCAAGGCCATGGTGCTCCAGACTCCCAGCTCAGTGTCATAAACCATAAGCTAGGGAAAGCCAGTGTGAGAAGATGCTCCTGGCCAGCCTGGGCACAGAACAGAATTCAAAATGCCAAAGTGAAATTTTCTTCACTGGGGTAAAGGTCAGGGTCAAAGGTCCCAGGTTTAGAAGTCAAGGAGGATAGACTTAAATGTTACTGAGACTGATGAACTCATGTCTTTGGTCACTAGAATAGGGCTCGGAAGTAAAGGACCACAGTTCCTGAGGTCCGAATACCTGGGGTTGGAGGCTGGTGGTCTAAGAGCTCAGGACCCTGGGGGCACAGGTGAACAGGGACTGAGGATTTCGGAGCAGGGTCAAAGTCACTCACCTCTGGGGGCAGATGCATGAGCAGCACAGCAGCTACAGGGCCTTGAGCCTGGCAATAGCCCTGTTCCGGCCGGTACAGAGTGTAGGCCTTGAGAATCTGCAGCAGCCCCTGCTGCCTGTACCAGAAGATCTCATCAGGGCTAGCCTAGGCACCCTGCCCTGCCCTTCGGGTCCTCTTGCCCGGGCCATCGTCTCCCTCAGTCAAGGGTGTAACTCTGGACTAGGGAACTGGCTGAAGCATCTAGCATGAGGACTTGGGGTCAGTGGGTATTCCCGGCCCATACCCGTGTCCCTGGGGTGACACAAACATCTCATGCAGAGGGAACTGGCGGTGCAAGTCCCTGCCAATGGTCTCCATCCACTGCGGGTCTCCAGGGGCCGCTGCCAGCTCCTATGGGTGGTAGGAAGGTGGATGTGAGGACTTAGGGTAGCAAGGAGTTCTGAGAGGGGAGGAAAAGACAAAGCCGGCCACTGCCAACTTCTTCACCTGATAGGTGCCAGGGTTGTTGTTCCGGCACATCTGGGCCCCACACAGCAGTGGCCAGCACCGGGCCCGCAGGGCAGACGGGATGCCCTTCCGGCACTGCATCTTTACCTGCGGGTGAGGTCCAGTCGTTATGTTAGGGCAGCCTCTCTTATAGCTTTCCATTGGCCAAGGCGTCAGAGGCAGCGGGGATTAAGAGCTACAGGGATGTAGACACAGACCCCTCTTCCCTCACCTTCTTGTATCGTCGAGACATGGTCTTCTCCCAGTGTGAGGTCATCTCCACCCACTTCATCTCCCGCTGGCGGATGAGGTCTGCAGAGGGTTGACCAGGCCTGGAGGCACATGGCACAGCATTCCTTGGAACATATACCTTCCCGTCCCAGGCCATCAGAGAAACCCCAGCTCCTGGCTTGGGGATCGCTGAGGAGTCCTGGATGGGCATCTGTGGCCCAGAAGCTGCCAATGGTTGTCACGGTTAAAGGAAGAGAATTTGGCTTCAATGGGGAACAGGAACTGGAGACTGAGGGGGTGAGGAGGTATGCATTGAGGGAGGGTCTGTTTGGCTGTCACCCACAACAGAGACAGTTCACAGGGATGCTGGCTGGACAGTGCCCTGGCCTGGAAGCCAGAAGTCCTGGGTGTGAATCTGCTCCTGTTTCTGATCTGCTGTGTGATGTGGGGCAGTTTCTATCTGTCTCTGGACTGTCTAAGGGAAACCTGAAGAAGAGAATGAGAAGAGGTACGGACTTCCATCTGGTGCTCTTGGGCCAGAGATTAAACGGGGGAAGATGTGCAGCTACAGGGGAGCGTTCAGACCCTCGGAGGATAAAAGAGCCATAAAGGGATATTGCCTCCACTACCCTTCTTACCTGAGCTCCGGGTTAGTCTCTACAGCCAGCCCCCTGAGGCCGGGCCTAACTTCAGAACTCAGTCCTCAGTCTCTGTACCCTGTCTCCCTACCCATGACTCACTTACCCCAGTTCTGCTGAGTTGCCACCAATGAAGCCATAGCGGTCAGCCTGGCGATATGGACCGGGACCACTCAGCTCCGAGTCAGACCCTAGAGAGCTAGAATCATCCTGTAGCTCTGATGACAGCACCAGGTCCTCCCCCAGGGTCTGGGCCATTGTGCCCTAGACCCCAGTGTCACAGGCTGCAAGACATACAGAGAGCCAGCATGAGCAGCCAGGAGCTGTCAGGCTGAGGCCTGGGATTCCAGTCACCAGTACTCAGCCACAGGAGACTAAGCCTCCTCACTGGGGAGCGGACCAAGCCCCAGGTGCAGCCCCAGCCCCAGCAGCCCACCTCACCTCCTCGCTGCACCTCACCTCCTCCTCTCACTTCCTCCTCAGTCTCAACTTCAGCAGCCTGTTGGGGGCCCCTCCCAGGTGGGGGGGACTCCCCCCTTCCTCTATGAGGCTCTTCCTGCTTGCCCTAGTGCCCTAGCCTTGAGCTCCTCCCATCCACAGGATGCTGGTGTGCTGAGTCCCTTAGCTCGCCAGAGATAAAGATGACAGGCCACAAGCAGGTAAAACCCAATTCACGGTTCCAATAAGAATTATGCTTTAATGTTTTGGCTCCTCCCTCCTCCGTTTTCTTTCTTTTTGGGGAGTGAAGGGGTTACTTCTGGGAATGAGGGTCTCATGTCACCTGGGAAGAAGATGAACTCTATATACTTGAGCATGACCTTGACGTTCTAATCCTCCTGCCTCCAGGATCCTGATGCTGGGGTTTCAGGCACTGGAATTTCAGGTTTATGACACCATGCCTACTTTAATGTTTTAATGTTTAAAAACAATATCTTTTTCTTTCTTTCTTTTTTTTTTCTTCCAGAACTGGAGATGGAACTTAAGGTCTTGCACACGCTAGGCAAGTCCGAATACTCCACAAAGTACTTACAACATGAACGCCGTGCAATACTATTACATCACTCACAGAAGAAAAAAAAAAAGATGCAGCAGGCACCAAGGCAACCTGGACCAAAACACGCTCAGAGTTCAGTAGCAGGTGTCCATGGGTTTGGCCACAAAGCCCGAGGTGAACGTAAGGCCTGGGTCTGGAGTCCACTGTCAACATCACTAAGCATTAGTAATATCATTAAGCCTTGGCTTGAGAAGTCAGCGATTAGCATGCTCACACCACAACCTCACGGAGGGCTGGGGTGAGAAGAGACCTTTGAGAGAGAAAAACAATTTCCACAGTACTTCCGGCCCTAAGGCCTCGGAACGCGGCAGGGCGAGTCCTCCGGGGTGGAGCCAACTCAACCCCGCCCTACCAGCCCCGCCAGCCACCCAGCTAGGCTCCGCCGGCTCCCCCGAGGCCCTCCGAGCTGCGGCGCTTGCCGTCCAGCCGGGGCGCCAGAGAGCGGAGGACGGCGGGCGCGGTGGGGCGGGGCGGCCAGCCGAGGAGGCGGGGCGGAGGGCTGGGGGCGGGCTGGGGCGGGCGGAAGGAGAGCCAGGCCGGAAGGAGGCTGCGAGAGGGCGGGAGGCAGGAGAGGGCCCGGAGCTGCTGGGCAGGAGCGGCGCCGCCGCCATGTCCGACAGCGAGAAGCTCAACCTGGACTCCATCATCGGGCGCCTGCTGGAAGGTGGGCAGGGGTAGGGAAGGGGCGCGCGCGCCATCCCCGGGCCCGTCGCCGTCCGGAAGTGGCGCGCGGGCGGGCCTGCGGCTCCCGGGGGCCAGCGTCGCTTGGGCGGGGACAGGCCGTGAGGTTCCGTGGACACGGCCACCTCCCCGTCCGCGCGCCGCGGCTTTGGAGTGGGCCCCGGGGTCGGGGCCGCACGCGTGGCCCGGACTCAGGGTGAGAGGCCGGCGAAGCTAGCTGGGAAAAGGGCCCGGAGCGGGGAGGCCTCGCTTGACAGAGTACTGAAAACAGCCGTCTCTCTCAGGCCTCCTGGGTGGCTGAGAGGGTCGGATCAGCCTGCGGAGGCCTGAGGCAGAGGTTTCGGGGCGGCTCCCTGGCAACAGTTGTCCATGATAGGAGGGTATGACGCCTACCCCGATCCTGTCTGCGAGGTTAGGGTCCTAAGACCCCATTCCGTACCCAGTGCAGGGCTCACGGCCTGGAAAGAATGTGCAACTAACAGAGAACGAGATCCGTGGTCTGTGCCTCAAATCCCGGGAGATTTTCCTGAGCCAGCCTATTCTTCTGGAGCTTGAGGCGCCTCTCAAGATCTGCGGTGAGCCCTTGCTCAGAACCCCCTAGCTTCCTGGAAATAGCCCCCACTCCCGCCCCACTGCCTGGTTTTCTTCTCGCCTTATGGCCTATTGCTGGCCCTGGGTTCAAGTTTAGATCTTGCTCCTATCTAGCCTCCTCTGGTTCCTAGGTGACATCCATGGCCAGTACTATGACCTTCTACGGCTGTTTGAGTATGGTGGCTTCCCCCCAGAGAGCAACTACCTTTTCTTGGGGGACTATGTGGACCGTGGCAAGCAGTCTTTGGAGACCATCTGCCTGCTGCTGGCCTATAAGATCAAATACCCTGAGAATTTCTTTCTGCTCCGTGGGAACCACGAGTGTGCCAGCATCAACCGCATCTATGGCTTCTATGATGAATGTGAGCTACCCAGAACTACATTCCCTGCTCTTCATAGGACCCTTACATTGGTCTGGTGCCCAGAGACCCCTTATGTACCATGGCATGCTGTCATCACTGACACTTAGGAAGGGCCTGGTGAACGGAGATGCGTGGAGGACTGCCCATTTGCTAAAGCTCCCCCCACAGTCCTGCCTGATGACTCCTCTATTAAATCCCTTACCTAAGCATCTAAGGTATCTATCTGTAGGGTGCCCGTATGAATAAACCAGATCTGCTTTTTAGTTTGGCCCGGTTCGTAGGAGTGGGTGCCAACATCGACCTTGGGCCAGACTGGAGTTCAGGCCTTTAATCCCAGCACTTGAGAGACAGAGGCAGGCAGATCTCTCTGAGTTCGAGGCCAGCCTGGTCTACAAGAGCTAGTGCCAGGACAGGAACCAAAAAGCTGCGGAGAAACCCTGTCTCGAAAAAAAATAAAAAAAAAAAAATTCTGGGAGGCAGGATTAGGAGGACTGTGGATAGTGCAGGGAGGGGGGCTCAAGCCCAGAGTAACCAACACAGTACCCTGGGGTGCGCAGAAAGCTAGCCCAAGGGTTGCGTGGGGTGGGTGGTCTTCCCTGTGAGCCATCTCCTTCTCCTGTGCAGGCAAGAGACGCTACAACATCAAACTGTGGAAAACGTTCACCGACTGCTTCAACTGCTTGCCCATTGCAGCCATTGTAGACGAGAAGATCTTCTGCTGCCACGGAGGTGAGTGGCAATGGGGCCTATGCTTGGGGTTCCGGGGCCACATCCTTAGGGGCCTTGGAAAGTTGTTGGTAGAACTCTCCTCAGTTTCCTGGAATAGCTCTCCTTGAATCTCATCTTGGATGTCACTTATTGTAGGAAGTCACTCACCACCCCCCAGTTTGGCTGCACTCTTTCCTGTTGTGGCATTTGGCATCCTGTAGGCAACTCACTCATCTCCTTTCCCCCATGGAGGTCTGCTCCTTGCTCTTTTAAAAGCTGAGGGATAATGAATTCTACCTGCCTGGACTTTAGGAGATCAAAAGAGGAGCCCGTTGGTGGTGGGGAGGGAGAGACTGATTCCCCAAGAGCTTCTGGGCATGGGAGAGCCCTTGCTTTTCGGTTTAAGGAAAACCTCCTTCCTCCAGGCCTGTCTCCAGACTTGCAGTCCATGGAGCAGATCAGGCGTATTATGCGGCCCACAGACGTGCCTGACCAGGGCCTCCTGTGTGATCTGCTGTGGTCTGACCCTGACAAGGATGTTCAAGGCTGGGGCGAGAATGACCGTGGTGTCTCCTTCACCTTTGGGGCTGAGGTGGTGGCCAAGTTCCTGCACAAGCATGATTTGGACCTCATCTGCCGGGCGCACCAGGTGGGCAGGTGGTCCTATGCCAGGCTGGGGATGGCCAGCTGCCTAACTTGTAGACCAAACATTTCCTGTCCTTGCCCAGGTTGTAGAAGATGGCTATGAGTTCTTTGCCAAGAGGCAGTTGGTGACACTCTTCTCTGCTCCCAACTACTGTGGCGAGTTTGACAATGCTGGTGCCATGATGAGCGTGGATGAGACTCTCATGTGCTCCTTCCAGGTGGGTGTGGGAAAGAGGCTGTCAAGACTACCTGACTTAGTGCCAGGAACCTGACCCGCCTTTTCTCTTTCAGATCCTCAAGCCCGCTGACAAGAACAAGGGGAAGTATGGGCAGTTCAGTGGCCTGAACCCTGGAGGCCGTCCCATCACCCCACCCCGCAATTCTGCCAAAGCCAAGAAATAGCCTCCATGTGTTGCCCTTTTGCCCCAGACGATGGATTACTTGTACAGAAATCATGCTGCCATGGGTCACGGTCCCCTCAGGCCCACCCATCATGGGGAACACACAGCGTTAAGTGTCTTTTCCTTTCTTTTTTTAATGAATCAATAGCAGCGTCTAGTCCCCAGGGCTCCCACCCACCAGCACCTGTGGTGGCTGCAGTGGAAGCCTGGGGCCAAGGCTGCAGCTCAGGGCAATGGCAGACCAGATTGTGGGTCTCCAGCCTTGCATGGCTGGCAGCTGGATCCTGGGGCAACCCATCTGGTCTCTTGAATAAAGGTCAAAGCTGGATTCTCGCCATGGCCTCTGTCTCACTCATCCCAGACAGTGGGCCAGCAGCCCTTTGGTACGAAGCCACCTGGGGAGGCAGACTGACTGGCTGGACATGGGCCCAGCCAGGGCAACCCCACTGGCATGCTCAGGTTCAGAGGCTATTAGGATGCCAAGCCAAGTATTGGGAAAGCAAGAGAAATCGTTCCTACCAACCACAGAAGGTCCCAGAGGTTTGATAGGAAGTTCATGATGGGCAGAGGGTAATCAGCACTTTTTAAAGAGGCAGGCAAGCCTGAGGAAGGTATGGCCTGTGGCTCTACAGTAAGAAAGAGGCGAGGAACCTATCTGGTGGCAGCTGGGCACCAGAAAGAGACATGATTGACACAGTTGAGTGAATAATATAGAACACAGACCAAACGTGGTAGCCTAGGCAGCTCTGAGATAGCTAAGTGGGGCCTACCCTAAGCATAGCCCCTTTTCCATGCCCAGGGACTGAGGACCAGCCCTGCCACTGGCTGGGCCTGCTTCTGGTCCATGGGCCATTGGATATAGGCTTCAGTTTCTCAAGTTCAGCCTTCACCATCACTATCTTCAGCCAGCACAGGGTTGGGACCCTGTGGGGAGTGCACAGGGGCCAGGATGGAACCAAAGAAGAGTGAACGAAACTGGAAAGAGAATAGAGAAAGCCCAGTTAGTTCTAGGAGCGGCTTCCTTCCTCACCTCACAGTTCCTACCCCAACTTCCAGCTCCTACCTTCTTGGGTGGGGGAGTCCCAGGCACTGTACTGGGCTCAGCTTCCTCCTCTTCCTCTGAGGAGGGTGCAAGGTCATGGGAGGGCTGGGAGACGTGTGGGAGGGAAGTGGAAGGCTGCGCCCCGGAGCCCTCGCTGCCCACGGTGGTTTCCATGGCAATCATGTAACAGTCGATGTCATCATTGGTAAAGTCATCTAAGGGGGGTGTGCTGTAGGCAGAGACAGTATCAGCAAGGAACAGGGAAAGAAGAGGGATCCAGAGCAGGCCCCACTTTGGGAGGGCTTGAGGCCTCAAGACTGCTGGTGAGCTTTTGGTTTTATTACTTCCTGATTTGGCTGGGAGGAAAGGATGCAGGGGTTAAGTGGGAGCTTCCTGCAGAGGGTGGAACTGGAACCCCTTTGATCAGAGTTCAGGTAGAGGCCTGAGGGAGGCATCCTGGGGGCCAATTTAGCTCAGCTGGGGGAGGGAAGCAACAGTCCTGTGAAGAGGGCCACATGGGGCCCAATCCCTCACCTTCCCAAGGGAGAGGAGCTGGAGAGCACCAGAGCCTGGGGATATGCTGGGCCTCAAGCCAGACCAAACTTCCTCTGCTTCCACTGCACTGATCCCAGCCTCCCCAACCCACCTGCCCTTCCAGCCACCTGCTTCCCTGCACCAGGCAGCTCCCTGCCTCCCAGCAGCCCTTTCCCTCCTATCCTGGGAAGAGGCTCAGAGGGGTGGCCTCAGCCAGAGAAGGAAGCTAGCTGGACCTTGGGGATGCCTCTTTGGATGGGAGGGGTCTCAGTACAGCTGACCATGAAGGCTGGGAGTCCTGTAGAGGCTGGGGCCTGACAGGAAGTCTGTACTGAGGGAGGTACAGAAGGTAGCAGTAGCAGGCTCAGCCTGAGGGGTAGAGAGGGAGAGCAGGGTGGGTG